TAATCATCGCATCCAACTTGATCTTCCGAATCTACCCCTTGAGTAAAAAGATAATAGATCATTCTTGGTGAAGCTTTGAAATCTTCGAATTTAGTCTTAGAGTCTTCTAGTATAGCCTCTTTGTATTGCACTTCCATGATCAAGCCTTGCAAAGCCTCTTTCATCCTCTTTGTCTTTGCCCTAGTCATTGGACCGCCACTTCCTTGCAAAGAATCTTGGGAATATTTGAGAACATCAACTTGGTCAACACCTCGATCTCCATTAGGGACCTATACTTTAGAGTTGTGATTCAGGCCCCCTAGGTACTAGTATGGTGGTGGTGAGTATGAGTACAGATATGGATCAGTGGTTGTGTGACATTCATCAAGCTTTTACATGAAATATATTTTTCTCTTACAAGTATTTTTCTTTATAAATGTATTATCTACTCACTGGGCTTCCCAGCTCACTGTTTTATGTTTTCTCCCCCCACGGTTTACTACAAGGTTCATGCGGAGCTACTTGTACGCTCTAGGTTGGCCTATGGATGCATTTTCTACCTCATGATGTGTGTTCATTTAGTGTACTCTGATACTATGTTTTGTAACTGACTTTTTGTATTTACATTTCCACAGACTATTTTTACGCGCATGGATAACTGTTTCACTTAACTTATGTTATAATAAATGGATTTTATGAATGACTTTATGATTTATTCACCTTTCTCTTGGGTCCCTCGGAGCGCCCAGATCCGATGGGATAGGGACTACCCGAGAAGGGGCATGACATCTTAAACATATACAAAAACAATAATCAGAACCATGGTTATTAGTATCCTACGATACGATTCGACACTAGTCGCCAACGATACGTATCAGAGAGTGTATTACAAACCTTTCGATACGTTAATATGTATCCTACAATACGATATGTATCTGTTCGTATCCTTAAAAATACCGATACAAATCGATATGATTTTATTAATTTGGGCCTAAGGCCCAAAAAAAATTTTAGGTCGGATCCAGGTCACCCAACTTGGTTCACTAAAACCTGTCTAAATTTACGCATTTTGCATGGAGAATGTGAAAAGGAAGATATATTGTTCATTTTGCATGATAATAATAACACAAGTAGAGATATAAATATTGACATTGATCTTAGAAATGATATGAATAGTTGAGAGGAAAAAATATAAATTCTTAATTTTGTAATTAATTTTGATTATGTAATACTATAATTTAAAGCCAATAATATCATAAAATTCGTTAATTAATTATGGAGATGATATTAATTTTTAGAAAAAAAATTATTACTTTTTAATTTTTTTTAAAAGATGTATTTTATGATACACGATACATGACTAAAAAATTAAGTTTATGATATACGATAAAAACTAACAAACTAATCATAAATAAGAAAAAGTATGGCGAGTGCATCGAAGCTGGCTAGGTGCCCGTGTCGGGCCTATCTGTCGATGCAAAACAGTTTTCCGGTATGCTTGTATGAAAGATCAATATATCAAGACTTAAGCCAAGCCCATCGTCCTGTGAATATCGATTAACTACACAAAATATATGAGAAGTTCATCGAGGAAATAAAGTACAAAAGTCTGCAAAGTTGAGTGAATCAACTGAATGTAAATATGAACAAGTCGGGGCTGCAAAAAGTATTCGAGCAATAATTACAAAGAAATCGACAGGTAAAGAAATCGACGTGCTCACGAAACTTGAAAGAAGAGCAGTACTTTAATTTATATATATATTAATACAGAGCGGAATGTTGACAGAATCAAAAACAAAGTTAAATTAATGGTTTGACAAAGTATAACATATATATAACTCACCTCCTTTTGAATCTACCGATGATGAGTAAATCGCATAGACATGACGAAACATATTTTTCTCTATATATAATTCGGTTGACTTTAAATTATTAATCGATTTGTAATTCGAAATAGTAGAACGTTGAGTTTTGCACCTATTTTTCTATTATACTAATACATCACTAGCTAATGATTTTCATTCCCTCAAATCCAATCTCATTTTAATATTACATAAATTAATATATAATATGTTTTCTTATAGATTTCTTGGCTGATGCTACTCGGTCACACTGTTTTGAGCTGTAAAACTTGAGCTTCTGAGAAATAGTAGTGCTGGCTGCCAGGCCAGGTCAAAGATTTGACAAAGCCATAAATTAGTTAAGTAATTACTTCTCCAATGGCTGGCCTTTTCAATTCCTCCCTATAAATAAGACGGGCAAACATAGCTTACACCACAACAGACTTGAAACTTAGAGTTATAAGGTAATAACTATAGCATTAATGGCTTCGCGTAGCATATTCCAGCTTCAGATTTTTCTCATCTTTGCTCTGGCAACAACAGCTTTCTCATCAGTATTGTCTCCTTATCACTATGAGAAAGTGTGTCCAAAAGCTTTGCCAACTATCAAACGAATAGTGGAAGCTGCTGTTTACAAGGAACGCCGCATGGGTGGCTCTCTTCTACGTCTGCACTTCCATGACTGTTTTGTTCAAGTAAAATACCCAACTGTTAACTTTTTCTCATTCTAACTCAAGTAATAATCTTGGTTTTTATAAGTGTCATGCATTCTCATATACTTTTGTCTGTATTATTCAGGGTTGCGATGCATCAATTCTCCTGGATGCTACAGCCACCATCGACAGTGAAAAGAATGCACGTCCGAACCTCAATTCCGTCAGAGGATTTGAAGTCATCGACCAGATTAAGAAAGAGGTTGACAAAATTTGTGGATTCCCAGTTGTTTCTTGTGCAGACATTTTGGCTGTTGCAGCTCGTGATTCTGTTGTTGCGGTGTGTTCTTAGTAATCCTTCTCTATCATTTTTCATTTTTATTTTTTTGGGTATATTGTCAAGCAATAGACTAATATGTATCTAAAAGATTCACGCAATCACCCACCAATGAATGAAACTGAAATGAGAATGAATTTTCTTCTTATATTTTTCCAAAAGTCTTTATACATTTTAACAAATTTCTATGGCTAATTTGTATATTGATAATGTGCAGCTTGGCGGACCATCATGGAAGGTACCACTGGGGAGAAGAGACTCAACCACAGCTAGCAGGAACTTAGCCAATCGCAACCTTCCACCGGCATTCATGGACCTCCCAGCACTAATCAAAAACTTCAAAAACCAAGGCCTCAACGAGAGAGACTTAGTGGCGCTCTCTGGTGGCCACACTCTTGGCTTCTCACAGTGTGGTCCCTTTAAAGAGAGAATTTACAACGGAACAAACATTGATTCTGACTTCGCAAAAGAGCGAAGAAAGACATGCCCACGTACAGGAGGAGACACCAAACTTTCTCCTCTGGACCCAACATTTGCACGCTTTGATACTGCATATTTCTCCAACTTGATAAAGAAGAAGGGGCTTCTTGAGTCAGATCAAGCACTTTTCAGCGGTGGCTCAACTGATAAACTCGTAAAGACTTATAGCTATAACCCAAAGGCTTTCTCTGCTGATTTTGCCAACTCTATGATTAAGATGGGGAACATAAAAGTATTGACAGGAAAGCGGGGTCAAATTCGTTCGAACTGCAGGAAGGTGAATCACTAGAGTGGTTATGAAACCATTAAATGATAATAGTTTATATATAAAAAATAATTCACCCTTTCTCAATACGCTGTATTATGAACATATCAGTAATGTGGTTCCAAATAATTTTACTAATGTATATTTATAAAAGAAAAAAAAAATATATATATATATATCTCAATTAATTTGCATTCTAAATAATATAACTGTGTCCGTACTTGATTAAACATAGCTATATGATTTGTAATATTATTATCTCTATATGATTTGTCACATCATCTCATTAAATGTTGTATTAATGAGAATATATATAGCCTAAAGAAGTTATTTATTGGAAGTTATATCAACAATCTTAATTTAAAAATATAATATAATATGTATATTTTTTTGAAATAAAGTATCCGAACTGGGTTGTACATATTTCAACTAATCTAAGTAAATGACGAGAGACCGTGTGTCTTAACCACATATCTCAGGACACGTCTTACTACTAGAGCTATCCAAGCATGACATAATTTTATACCTAGGATTAATCTCATGAATCTTTAGATCTGCGCATTTGGTAAGATTTATACTTCATGATATGAACACATTTTCGCGTGATAGAAAATTCAAGCTGTTAAACATAATTAACTACAATTCTTTCTTAAACAAATAACCACACTCATGCCAATTGCCAAGCCACCATCTAGTCGATCGTCACTGCACTGAATAAATAAAAGAATTATTTCAATAAATAATAGCATAAATTTTTGCAGAGTTGATCGAATCAACTCAAATGTAAAAATGAACAGGTCAGAGGTGCAACATGATCAGCGACAACGATAAGCAAGAAATGGACCGCTTCAGTGGCAACGTGTTTGAAGAAACTTAAAAGAAAAGCGTATTACTTACTCTGGCCAATCACATTCTTAGTTTTCTTCCATTGTCGATATTCAACAGAGCTTCCTATCTAAACATTAATTTTAGATCAAATTGCGATGTGGATAGGATATCAAATCAAGATTAATTAATAATACCTAGAGACAGTAGTCAAGATATATATATCTAACCATTTTGAATGAATCAAATATGATGCAGATGGGATCACATATATGACGTTTTATTTTAATCTTTGATATATACAATTTGGCTGAATATTGAATATAGATAAATTTGCACTTATTTAGCCCTCAAAGTGATGTTCAATCCCTTTTAGTCAATCTCAAATTCATTTAAATGTACATAAATTAATGAAAAGTACTTTGCTTGCAGAGATTTCTTGCCTCGCTGGGCTATAAGGATAGCTGTAAAAAGTGAGCTTCTGAGAAATAGTCATGTTGGCCAGGTCAAATAGAGTGACAAATCCTGAAATAATCAATTAATTACTTAGCACACTCTTCAAATTTTTAATATAAATGAGCGGAAGGTAAGGTCATAACCTATACTGTAATAGACCTAAAACTTATTAGAGTTACCGGCAATGGCTTCACGTAGCATATTCCTGCAGCTTCATGTCTTTCTGATATTGGCCCTTGCAACAACAACTTTTTCAAAAACACTGTCTCCTTATTACTATGAGAAAGTTTGCCCCAAAGCTTTGCCAACTATCAAACGAATAGTCGAAGCTGCTGTTTACGAAGAACGCCGCATGGGTGCTTCTTTACTACGTCTACACTTCCATGATTGTTTCGTTCAAGTACAACACCAACTGAGCTGTATATCTTTTCTTGTTTTTTCATTCATGCATGTACTTTTAATTTATAATTAAGTAGCTTTGCATGCACTCTTATATACTTGGTGTTTGCAACGTAGGGCTGTGATGCTTCCATTCTTCTGGATCCTACACCCACCATCGATAGTGAAAAGAATGCGTTTCCCAATATAAATTCCATCAGAGGGTTTGAAGTCATCGACAAGATTAAAAACAAGGTTGACAAAATTTGTGGACGCCCTCTGGTTTCTTGTGCAGATATCTTGGCTATTGCAGCTCGTGATTCTGTCGTTGCGGTATGTATATATTAGTAAACCTTCTCTTATCTCTTTGTATCATTTCTAACGTTTCTTGTTTTGGTATATTTTGCTTTTTTGGTCCAGCAATATAGACTAATATGTATCTCAAGATACACGAAAAATTACCGAAAAATTAGTTGGAGATTAGTGGGGAATGGGATATATAATATGCATGAAACTTTAATTAACAATTAAATATTCTTTACATATGGCTAATTTTATATATATTAAAAATTTTGCAGCTTGGAGGGCCAACATGGAAGGTGCCATTAGGAAGGAGAGACTCAACCACAGCAAGCAGGGAGTTAGCCAACAGAGACATTCCATCGCCATTCATGGACCTCCCTGCACTAATTGACAACTTCAAAAGGCAAGGCCTCGACAAGAGAGACTTAGTGGCGCTCTCTGGTGGTCACACCCTTGGTTTCTCACAATGTCGTTTCTTCAGAGACAGAATTTATAACGGAACGAACATTAACTCTCGCTTTGCAAAAGAGCTACGAAATACCTGCCCACCTGAAGGAGGTGACAGCAACCTTGCTCCTCTAGACCCAACTCCTGTATGCTTCGACACTGCATATTTCTCTTATTTGATAAAGGAGAAGGGGCTTCTAGTATCTGATCAAGCACTTTTCAGTGGCGGCTCAACTGATGGGCTCGTTAAGACTTATAGCTATAACCCCAGGGTCTTCTCAGCTGATTTTGCAAACTCTATGATTAAGATGGGAAACATACAAGTGTTGACTGGGAAGCAAGGTCAAATTCGTAAGAACTGCAGGAAGGTGAACTACTGATTCTGTTTGTAATTGAGTTGAATGACTGAAATTGCTTTGGAAATAAGTTCTTGTTGTATCTATGGAAGATTTTCGTTGCCTTATTTGTGAATTGACTTTCAAAACTGTGTCTATACATGATTTTCTATTCGATGAAATCAAGTACTGATCTTCTATTTATTACACGTATAATAGTATTTTTAAAAAATTACTAATCACTTATAATAAGGTTTAACCCACTCTTAAGTCTCAAGTAGTTCAACTGGTAGAATAAGTTCTAGGATGTGTGGTTACGTACAATCAAGTTTATATCCTTCTAACTCTTAAGATTTAAGCAGATGATTGTAAATTGCCTAACTCAAATTTTCCAATAACTAAGATAAAGACATGGCTTGATTCAAATTCTAACAATTTCGTGGTTATATGGTCAATTTTTCATTTAGCAATATCATTATTATAACTTACAAGTTTTGTGATTCATAACAATTTTTTAAAATATAAATGTTTTGGGCCATCATGGTTTGGAGCAATTACTTTCAGCCCAATTTGAGAATTTGACCCACTTTACCACAGCTCTTTCATACCACAGAAACTGGCCTTTGAAGAGAAAAACTGTGGGCTGTTTCACTGAGTCGTCTGATTCAATTCAACCATCTTGAAAGTTGAAACAGATAATAAGAGTCAAACCTCGTTTCTGTTGAATGAAGTACAAAAAGGAGGGAAAGGCGGTTTGTCTTAGGTGAGAAATGAGAATAAAATGAAAACCAGTGCAGTAGCCCACTGGAAAATAACAGAATGATTCAAGTAACGCCTTTTGGAATGGAAGCAAAGGACTTTTTAAGTTCGTCTCGTCAATCAAAAGAAGCAGCAGCAGCTTTTCACGTCGCCTGAGAGTAAAGAAATTGACTGATCAAATAATGAGGAGGTTTTTTACAAGCACAGCAAGAAGAAGATGCAGCACCAAGAACATTGCGTGGTGGGATCATGTCCTTCCTGCTCCTAAGGACCCCATTGTTTGTGTCACCGAAGCATTTCATGCTGATTCTTCTCCCAACAAGATCAATCTTGGCGTGGTATTTATTGCTTCTTCTTCTAATCTTTGTCACTAATATTGGTCAAACCTTTTAATTTACTCTATTTATTATTTTATTTTTTCTAGGGAACTTACAGGGATGATGAAGGCAGGCCTGTTGTGCTTCAATGTGTTAGAGAAGCAGAGGCCAGGATTGCGGGAAGTCGGTTCTTGTAAGTTCTAGTTTCTTCACTTCGTGTATTAGGATCCCGTCTTTAATTAGAAGAATTATGGGCTATTGTTTCTTTAGAAGAGACCGGAGAGTCATTTAAGTGGTGCGATTTTAGTATTCGATTAAAATGTTAAGAAATAGATGTGACTTCTATAATTATTTGATTGAATTCTATAGAACGCCCTGGAATTGTAACTGGGATTCTGTAACCATATCATTTTTCTTGTAAAAGTACTAATAAATTCTAAACTATCGTTTGAGCAGGGAGTCAAATTCTGCTGCAGTTAGTTCAAAAATGGTCGAGGAGAGTGTAAAATTGGTTTTTGGACAGGATTCAGATGTTGTTAATGAAGNTTTAAAAAATTACTAATCACTTATAATAAGGTTTAACCCACTCTTAAGTCTCAAGTAGTTCAACTGGTAGAATAAGTTCTAGGATGTGTGGTTACGTACAATCAAGTTTATATCCTTCTAACTCTTAAGATTTAAGCAGATGATTGTAAATTGCCTAACTCAAATTTTCCAATAACTAAGATAAAGACATGGCTTGATTCAAATTCTAACAATTTCGTGGTTATATGGTCAATTTTTCATTTAGCAATATCATTATTATAACTTACAAGTTTTGTGATTCATAACAATTTTTTAAAATATAAATGTTTTGGGCCATCATGGTTTGGAGCAATTACTTTCAGCCCAATTTGAGAATTTGACCCACTTTACCACAGCTCTTTCATACCACAGAAACTGGCCTTTGAAGAGAAAAACTGTGGGCTGTTTCACTGAGTCGTCTGATTCAATTCAACCATCTTGAAAGTTGAAACAGATAATAAGAGTCAAACCTCGTTTCTGTTGAATGAAGTACAAAAAGGAGGGAAAGGCGGTTTGTCTTAGGTGAGAAATGAGAATAAAATGAAAACCAGTGCAGTAGCCCACTGGAAAATAACAGAATGATTCAAGTAACGCCTTTTGGAATGGAAGCAAAGGACTTTTTAAGTTCGTCTCGTCAATCAAAAGAAGCAGCAGCAGCTTTTCACGTCGCCTGAGAGTAAAGAAATTGACTGATCAAATAATGAGGAGGTTTTTTACAAGCACAGCAAGAAGAAGATGCAGCACCAAGAACATTGCGTGGTGGGATCATGTCCTTCCTGCTCCTAAGGACCCCATTGTTTGTGTCACCGAAGCATTTCATGCTGATTCTTCTCCCAACAAGATCAATCTTGGCGTGGTATTTATTGCTTCTTCTTCTAATCTTTGTCACTAATATTGGTCAAACCTTTTAATTTACTCTATTTATTATTTTATTTTTTCTAGGGAACTTACAGGGATGATGAAGGCAGGCCTGTTGTGCTTCAATGTGTTAGAGAAGCAGAGGCCAGGATTGCGGGAAGTCGGTTCTTGTAAGTTCTAGTTTCTTCACTTCGTGTATTAGGATCCCGTCTTTAATTAGAAGAATTATGGGCTATTGTTTCTTTAGAAGAGACCGGAGAGTCATTTAAGTGGTGCGATTTTAGGATTCGATTAAAATGTTAAGAAATAGATGTGACTTCTATAATTATTTGATTGAATTCTATAGAACGCCCTGGAATTGTAACTGGGATTCTGTAACCATATTATTTTTCTTGTAAAAGTACTAATAAATTCTAAACTATCGTTTGAGCAGGGAGTCAAATTCTGCTGCAGTTAGTTCAAAAATGGTCGAGGAGAGTGTAAAATTGGTTTTTGGACAGGATTCAGATGTTGTTAATGAAGAGAGGTTTGCTGGAGTTCAAGCTCTGTCTGGCACTGGTGCATGCCGCCTGTTTGCTGAGTTTCAAAGGCGTTTCCATCCGGAATCACGCATTTATCTGCCTGATCCGACTTGGTCCAAGTATGTTTGTTCTTCATCCTTTTATTTCCTTTACAAGTTTATAGTCCAGGTTTTGTAATCTTGAAATGTTTTGGATATACTGAGATTGCTGTATGAATCTCTTCTTTCTTGTACTGAAATTCAAATGTATGTGTTGTACAGCCACCACAACATCTGGAGGGATGCCCAAGTTCCAGCAAAAAATTATCACTACTACCATCCTGATTCGAAGGGTTTAAACTTTTCAGCGCTCATAGATGATATTAAGGTATGAAAGTCTTCACGCCTTAGGCTCAGTGACTCTCTGGAATACAGAATTTAGTATTTCAAACGGTCCTAAAGGAATATCATGCAATGCCACTGCAATGTCCAATGAAATAGTTTCCTTTCTGACTCTGTTTTTCTAATTCCCTCAAAAATATTTTTACTCTGAATATTATAATGAAGGCACAGACATATGCATATGCATTCTACTTCAGTAGAAACCATGATACCTGGATCATTATTGCTGATCATATGAGCATCTATATATATTAAACCAAGCCAATATAACATTAAAGATATTAATTGCTGTTTTGTTTTCTTTTTGTTTGATGGTTTCTGTAGAATGCACCAGATGGTTCTTTTTTCTTACTCCATCCTTGTGCCCACAACCCAACTGGGGTGGATCCTACTGAGGATCAGTGGAAAGAAATCTCATATCAATGCAAGGTGATTGGGATATGTGTACTGTTTTGCTGCATTTTTTCACATTGTTGAATCAATTTTAATTATTATCTGGATAATTTTTTAGGTGAAAAATCATTTCCCCTTCTTTGACATGGCTTATCAAGGTTTCGCCAGTGGGGATCTCGAGAAAGATGCCCAAGCAATAAGGATTTTTCTTGAAGATGGACATTTAATAGGATGTGCGCAGTCCTTTGCAAAGAACATGGTATTGTATGGACACCGAGTTGGCTGTCTCAGGTATAGAAATATCATGTGATCTAGCTTTACTGTTTATTGTCATGAGAGAACAATGTATGTATTGCACTTTCATTTAAAACTGAAATTGGGATAAAATTTTATTGAAAGGCTCCTATATGTTATACCCAAATATGTTTCTGGTAGTTGATTGTAAGGAAGTTTAACCTAAAAGGTCAATGAATGATTTTTTTTTTTTTCAAACCCCACATTTGTGATTTCAGCATTCTTTGCAACGATTCAAAGCAAGGGGCTGCAGTTAGAAGCCAGTTGCAGCAGATTGCCAGTGCAATGTATGGCAGTCCTCCTGTTCATGGTGTGTTACTGGTCTCAACAATCCTGAGTAATCCAGATATGAAGTCACTTTGGATTGAAGAAGTGAAGGTAATATATACATTTTCCTCTTCTTCAATTATGATTATATATATATATATTTTTTTTTTTTTTGATCCTGATATGTCTTCAATTTACCCCCGTGTTATCAGATGATGTTATATCGCATACAAAAAATGCGGACAACCCTACAGGAAAGTCTTGAAAATTTGGATTCTCCTCTTAATTGGGAAAATATAACTAAGCAGGTTTGTAGTTAACATTGAAGTTTTGTTTATACTGCTTCAACCACCCCTGAAAATTGGATCAAACAGTGGAGCACTAACATAACTATACAATAATTCATTTATGTTGACATTGCAGGTTGGCTTGTTTTTCTTCTCTGGCTTAACCCCGAATCAGGTTGAGCAGCTAGCGAGGGAATTCCATATATACATGACTCGTGATGGACGTATAAGGTGAATTTATTACGAACATGATTAATTTTAGAACCAACAAGAATAAGATTTGGTTTTCCCTTTTTGTTTGTAAATTGCTAGTATACTCTGAAATGAGCTTATACTAAACTATGAACTGTGGTGCGGTGTGGGCAGCATGTCTTGTGTGACTACAGGCAATGTCAATTATCTAGCAAATGCCATACATGAAGTCACCAGATCTAGTAAAGAAGAAACCAAGATTCTTTGCAACATTGGTGCATAGCAAATCATTTTTATCTGATGCCGAAAGTTTTAGATGCATATTGTCCCGCCAACATCGTATACGAAGACATAGAAAACTACAGTTGTTTAACACACTACTTATTATTATCAGTCCAATGCACTTGTAGCAGAAATTCAAACTCTTAACATACTCAAGAACATTGTACATAGCTTTAGTGATTTCATAAATGAATTTCTTGTTTGGATTTGAAGTCGTCATGAAAAATCCCACGTTTCTTTCAAGTTTCATTACTCTTCGTTGGCAGATCTGTGCACAATATTACATTTAAAATATCAAAGATTAGTTAAATCCTTAAAGCTTTCATAATATAGTATGTTGTTTTGATGATCAAGAATGGGCAATCTGTCACCACCACCTCCATGGAACTTTACTTTTTGCAGTCCAGAATTAGTTGAGTGATTGAAATAAAAATTCTGAAAACTCAGTGAGGACGTATTATTTGATTATAAATTATACCATCCAGATGACGACCCATGTGCATGTGGAGCAGCTATGCACACACGCGCAGGTCAGAACTGCCGACAAACGGGATTAAAAACGTAGGCATCATCTCTGTCTTCTGGTAAAGCTACCTTCTTATGCTTCTTCTTGATTCATTAAAGTAAAAGAATGAGATCTTTTGGTACATGTCCCCTTTGTTTTTCTCAACTTTTTGCAGATCAAAGGGAAGTACCCAAATCTTTGAGACTTTGACTGGTTAATTCCGCTTTAATTTATTTAGAGTGTTAAATTACATAAAAAATATATCCATTTACTCTATTAATTAATGCGACAGAGATTGAGATGGGGACAACTCATCTATATGTTCACAAATGAATTGATTTTATGGATTAAGAAGAAGCAATAGCAACAGCTTTCCTTTTTCGATAATATGACAAGCATTGAATACGTGATGAGAACAGGGCAGGGGGCCATAAAGGATTCCAAACGGCAAAGGTGATAAACCCATATTAAATATTAAGGACTTCTACCTGCCTTTCGTTTTTGCATTAAATAAAAATCATAACTTAGGGGAGGGGAACATTAAAACTAAACAATTGTGGGCAGTGTTTTTTCTCAATCAAAAACCAGTTGTTTAAAGCTTTTGCACCTAACAAAATTATTTGTTCCTTTCAAAGAAATTTAACTACTCAAATAAATTTTCCAGTGTCCTTTCTAGAGTATCTCTTTTGTCAGGCACTGATAAATGCAGCTCTGCTTTCAGAAACTTACAAAAATAATTGCATGGCTCACCGTTAATATTATCTGTTATTGCTTGATGAGTTGACTTAGCAGTACAAGGAACAGGGCTTCTCTCTCTTAATCAAGCCGATCTTTTGATTTTAACTGTGTAAATAGCTACCAGATGCAGAAGAAATAGAAAATTAAGTAAAGCATTTTCTTTTTTGACCCTAAAAGAAAAAAAAAAAAAAAAAAAAAAAGAGAAAGTAATATTGATGACTAAATTACACAAACTTAAAGCAGACTCTAGTTGTTTTCTGTGGACGAACATCATACACACACCAGACAAATTTCAATATTTCTGCAGCTAGTTCAAGTCACTAACCAGAGAAGAGAAACAAAGAACAAAATTAGACCCTCTGTAATTTAATTGCAAAAAAAAAAAAGAAAAAAAAAAGCAAATTAAGACTTAGAGAGATCTGAAAGCTGAGAAATAATTTCCCAGTTCACGGCCAAACTGGAGAGGTACTAATAATAATTAAAGACCTTTTTCTTTATAGTCACCTCACCATCCATAGCATCCTCGAAGCTTAAGGCGTAGAGTTGAAGTTGGTGATCCAAAAGCTGGTTCTTCATCTTCTATTCCTGAATCAAAAGATGACCGTCTGCTCGAAAACCGGCTCCTTGCATGGCGATATTTTTTTAGAGGACTAGTTATGGAAACCACTATTGACAAAGTGGAAGAAGATGACCAAGAAGAGGATGATGATAAAGATGAAGATGAAGAGGATGATGATACATTTTTGGTTTTCTTGCGATTCATCTTGGGGAACAAGATATGCAAGAGACTAAGGGATCTCGAGTGGTGTTTCTTGACAGGTTTTTTATCTATATTTGAGTTAGAATAATAAGAAGGAGGAGGTGTGAGAGGAGGGAGAGTTGTTTCACTGAACATTTTACATTTGGGTGTGCCCGGTTGAGACTCCCACAAGAAAGGAACTGCACCAGAAACTCCTCCATAGTAGACTCTAAAAGAAGGGTTGGCCATGGAGGTTTCTTTGGACAGAAGCCTGGAGAAGAACTTGTTATCTTCTTTTATCTGAATAGAATTTTGTGAAACCTCTGTGCTCTTACTAAACATCTTGAATTATTGAAAGGTTAATTGTTCGATTGTGAAGAGAGGACAGAGCTTTAGACTACACTGAGGAACCAGCCATTGAAGTCAGAGAAATATTATATAGAGCGGCGAAAATGCATAGATATTATATTGATTTTTGACTCTTATAAAAAGATTTCTGATAATATGGCATCCCTTAGTAAACCTTTACTGACAAAACCACCTAGATTTTGTATCTTCCCATTTTGACCATTTCCCATTTGCTTATTAATTTAACTGTTTTGGGAGAATCTGCAGTGTTCTACTCATACTTTTAACCTGCATCTCATGCTCTCTACAGCAAGTAGAGCGTATACAGAAAGTTAAAAATTATATTTTAACTAGTGGCCTCAAATCAATAGCCTCATCACCTAATTTTTTAACTTCAAATAGGTTAAAAAAAAAAAATTCATATACTTGATCTGATCCCTCATCCTTTTAAAAGGTTTAATTTGGTGTAGGTACTTCACATCCTAAAGAAATATAGGGTTATATTTTTGTTATATTTAAAAGAACTTCTAAAGGCCAATTACTTAATATATATTAAAATTTGATGAAAGGGCAAATATTTAAGCTTTCATCACATGGTCCATGGCTCCATGCATCTTCCACGAAGATTGAATACAACACAACTCCACTGGACTGACAAGGGCTCAGTAGGGCCACGCCATTTGATGCTGATATGAACCAACCAAACCAGACATAAATATACATAACCAGTGAACCATCCATCCATGGTTCTCTGCAAACAAAACTAGTGGAAATTAAAATATAAGACCCACCAGTGGTCCTATTTCTTCCATCAGGAACTCCATTTCTTCCCAACGTGATTCTCATTGAAGCATAAGTGGGCAAAAACAAAATCATTTTGTCATGGGAATTGAATCTCTTTCTATAATATCTTCCATTATCTTCTCGATACTACATACTTAATTCGAAGGAAGGGTAGTGGAAGTTTATACAGGTCAAAAATTTATTGGCTTCTACCAACGAACAAGTTAAAGTTGGTTGCATGAACCGTGAGCTGTCGAGATGTGATTGGATAACTTCTTTTTAATAATAATGCAAAAAGATTTTGTTTTCGTAGCAAACTGAAATTGGTAACGAGCAACGACCAAGAATTAAGTCTTCGATTAGGAGGTAGTTCGGAAGTGGGAGATATGCAAATTGGAAGCATGGTAAATGAAATTTTATTTCATTGAAAAGTCATGCATGATGCTTTATAATTCTTATAAACTTATAATAACTTTAAAACTTCTCTATCAAACCCACGTTTCCCTTCTTGATTTCATCCAACAATAAGTACCATGCATGCCACAATTTTTATTTAAATGTATAGTGTATCAAATCTCATATATATCAATATCTCGTTATTAAGCCATTTTCTTCCGATGTACGAACTTTTGAGATAACTATTGGGAGAACGACATTTTTCCACCCCAGGTTCGGCGAAACGATATTTTCTCACCTGTTAAGTTTCAAAATTATATTTTCTCACCCTTTATCAGGTTTTGTTAGTATTTTTTGTTAATATTTGAATGAAAAAATGAAAATACCCTTAAATAGTTTATTTCTTAATTAGTTTATTATAAATTAAAATTTAGTTAAGTTAAAGTCTTTATTCAATTATTTATTAGTTCAAGTATAAAGATATCTTTTTTTCTTTGTTTATTTAATTAATTAGGAATATTGATTTTCTATGTTAATTAGTAAAAATGAAAAATATTATGAATTTAGTAGATTATTGAATAATAGTGATGGCTATTGATGACATTATAAATAAATAAATATTAAGGTCATTTAACTTTAAACAATTCTATAGCACTATTCCTAACTTTTTAGGTGGGGCTGACTATTTTTTCTTTTTTGACTTTTTGATTAATTAAAAAAAATAAAAAATTTATAAAGTCAAATATTTAAGGGTATTTTCATCTTTTTAGTAAAATATTAACAGAAAATATAACAGAACCTATTGAAAGGTGAAAAAGTATTATTTTGAAACTTGAAAGGTGGGAAAGTGTCGTTTCGCCAAACCTTAGGTGGGAAAATGTCGTTCTCCCTTAACTATTACTCCCCAATTTGTGCATTGTCACACTAAGCACCCAAGGAAGAGGTAAGCAGGATGCTCCACTCCAAAAAGTCCCACATCAGGCAAGAAGGGGGTCCTTGGGAAGTTTATAAAGGGTTGGCAATCTCCCTATTATGTCTGTCTTTTGGGTTAAGGCTCAGTGCATGACAAATTGGTATCAGAACCAACCCATTCTCATGCCAAGTGCCGAAGGAAGAGAGGTAGGCAGTGTGGCCACGACTCGTGGGATCCTAGGAAGAGATAGCATCGGGCAGGAAGGGGGGGTGCCCACATGCTCTACATTCACTAAGCCGCATGAACATGGAATTCACTTTAACAAAAGCAAAGACTCACCTAATTTCATGAGCATGCACCACGTGAAATTTGTTATTTGTTCAATATATCTATCATGGAAACTAGCCATTAATTGATAATGGGTAGGTAGTTAATTTCATGGCCAATGCGACCAGTATTTGATTTGTGCTCATCGTGCTTTATATTTGTCCTGATCTTACTTTTCATATACATATTGCTTTAATTTTCCATTTATATTTGTATTGTTTTGAGTGAGTGGAGATTGAAGAAGAAAGATGAGTTGGATGTTTGAGGTAGTGGTGCAGGCGCAGCCCACTTAAGCAACAGAAGGGAAGAGGGAAGCAGCCATATCTAAAGCTGAAATAAGTCCACTGTGTTTGTGGGGGATTTAAATCAATATGCTGAATCATTTCGACAACGACTAGTATTATGACCAGGCATAAACCAGTTGTACAATTACGCAGTTTTGACTTCAATAGCTTGATCCCTACGACATTCCTTATCCTCTAAATCAGCCTGATGCATGCTTTCATTAATTAATTTAATAAATAATGTTTTAAAAATTAATTATTGGGGAATTTGGGTGGAATTGTCAAATTAATTGTATCAAGTCCACATATGTTCATTAGTGGCTCATACAGAGTTCTAAGGTTTAATATCTAGACGAAACATCAAGTATGAAAACAGCTTCAACTTTATTAATGGCCCTTGAAAATTATTTTAAAATAATAATTCTTTCAATATCATCAACGGACACAAACCTCTATCAAAATTACAAATTCCGGCCCCAAACCGATTAACTGCTTTTAAAAAAAGCGGTTAATCGAAAAACCGGCTTTCCCTCCAAACCAGTTCGGTTTCGGTTCAGAAATTTTCCCGAACCGAAAAACTTATTTGGTTCAGAAAAGCGGTTAACCGCTTTTGAACACCCTTAATGCCAAGTGCCCCAAGGAAGAGGGGTAGGCAGTAGGGGTGTCAACCAAGCGGCTCGTTAAATACTCGAACTCGGCTCAAATAAGACTCGAATTAGGTACCAAGCCGAGTTCGAGTCTACTCCGACTCGGCTCAATTCGTTTCGGCTCGCGAGTCAATAGTGGCTCGTTTAGGGTTTTTCTTTAAAAAAATTAAAGTTTTAGGTCTGTTTGTAATTTGACATGTAAAAGTTCTAAAATGTTGCAAATTAACCCAAACCCCAATTAAAGTTTTGGATTTATAATTTGTTGTGTAATACATTGTTGATGTGTTGATTTGGATGTGATTTGTGTTGATTTGGATGTGATTTATGTTAATTTGGATGCAAATTTACAAAAAAAATGGATCTGATTTGTATAAAACAAGATCTGCGGATTATATAAAAAATGGGCCAAACGAGCCGTAATCGAGCCATAATTGAACAAGTTCGAGCTTGAGTTAATCGAGTTATAATCGAGCTTTTCGAGTCAAGTCAAACAAGTTTGAGTTAAATCACAAGCCGGCTCGATTATAAACGAGTCGAGTCACGAGTTGAATTTTTCTAACTCGATTGACTCATGACTCAGCTCGAACTCGTTTAATACTTAATCGAGTCAGACTCGTTTAGGGTGATATTCAGCTCGTTTACAGCCCTACTAGGCAGTGTGGCCACGACTAATCCAAGGAAGAGATAGCATCGCGCAGTATGGGGCTGCCCACATGCTGTAGATTCACTAAGCCGCATGCACATGGAATTCACTTTAACAAAAGCAAAGACTCACCTAATTTCATGAGCATGCACCACGTGAAATTTCTTATTTGTTCAATATATCTATCATGGAAACTAGCCATTAATTGATAATGGGTAGGTAGTTAATTTCATGGCCAATGCGACCAGTATTTGATTTGTGCTCATCGTGCTTTATATTTGTCCTGATCTTACTTTTCATATACATATTGCTTTAATTTTCCATTTATATTTGTATTGTTTTGAGTGAGTGGAGATTGAAGAAGAAAGATGAGTTGGATGTTTGAGGTAGTGGTGCAGGCGCAGCCCACTTAAGCAACAGAAGGGAGAGGTAATCCCCAATCGAAGCTGAAATAAGTCCACTGTGTTTGTGGGGGATTTAAATCAATATGCTGAATCATTTGGACAACGACTAGTATTATGACCAGGCATAAACCAGTTGTACAATTACGCAGTTTTGACTTCAAAGCTTGATCCCTACGACATTCCTTATCCTCTAAATCAGCCTGATGCATGCTTTCATTAATTAATTTAATAAATAATGTTTTAAAAATTAATTATTGGGGAATTTGGGTGGAATTGTCAAATTAATGTATACAAGTCCACATAGTTCTAGTGGCTCATACAGGTTCTAAGGTTTAATATCTAGACGAAACATCAGTACGAAAACAGCTTCAACTTTTTAATGGCCCTGAAAATTATTTAAAATAATAATTCTTTCAATATCATCAACGGACACAAACCTCTATCAAAATTACAAATTCTTTGGATCTTTTTTTTTATATGTATTTATTAATATCATATATGCGATGAGACTATCGCAATCTTGTCCTCCTTTAAACAAAAATTGGGCCGAAATATGGCCATGATCGGGCCCATAACCATATCAAAGGAGTTCAGCCCAACCCATTTAGCTATAATTCAGGCCCATGGCCCGGTACTTCAGCTATCATTGAACTCTGACCTCAACTGAAGCTGCGTGATTCGGATTTTTAGAAAGCTGCGAACTTCAAGAGAGAATGATTATGGGTAAAGTTGAGTTGAAGTAACTTCATTAGTAACGGCACAATGCATACTGCATAGTGGACCATTGTGCCTTTTTACCCTAATTTACAACGGTCACCTCATGATGGCCTCTTGCCGTTTGGGGAAGATAAGAAGAAAGCTTCACAAGGAAAGCTATTGTGCTTTAACCCCACCCAAGTCCCAACCAACCATCGGCCTCACTCCTGACCCGTCTCGGCCCGTCCGCTGGCCCTACTCAACCTTTCGTTTCTCACCTACCATTACCCCGCGCCCACTTAACACGTGTCATAAATTTCTTTCTACTCAACCTTGTCCCCGCACTGCCGCCCATCACGTTGATAATTTGATCTTGCCTTCGGCATTTTTGGAATTTCACCGTTAGGTAATCCCAATTTAGGAGACGATAAGGTATAATCAATCCATTTTATAATAAAATTTGTTTAAAAAAGGAATAAATAACAAAAGAAAAGCGACCGACTCTTGCAGAAAGTGGTCACCGGTCATGAATCTAAGCAAGTCAGTCAACAGTAACACCACAACTGACGCCGGTGAAATATTTTTTTACCGCTTTAGCCCCTTGTCCGTTACTGGATATCTAGTCGTTGAAACTCGAAATTCAGCCACCCATGGAGCCCACACATCGCACTAATTGATTAACTCGGTCACTCATCCACTGTAAACCCTCACTTTCCCTCCAGGGGTCAAATTTAAAAGTTGATTTCCCTCTGTCACTGCAGTTAACCTCCGGAAAATTGGATAATCTTTCTGGGCAGTTTAGGAAATTCAAATAGTCAAACGTACACTTTCTTTCTTTTTGATTGTTTCCCTCTCTCTCTCTCTCTGTTCGTCTCTACATTAACTGTAGCATTACTCTTACATTTACACTCTCAAAGCGTTCGTAGTGTGTGCACTGTGCAATTCTATACAAGTATACAGACCAGAAGCCATCGTTATCATCATTCATTCATTCATTGACCTGTCATCCACCGTACATTTTTCACCACCATCGAATTCCTAAGCTCATTATATTGTTTGGCTTTCGTTAATGGCTGAAACCCTAGGTTCTGGTTCTAAAATGAAGCACGAGAGTAGTATGAGAGCCGAGATCGATACATCGGCGCCGTTTGAGTCCGTTAAAGAGGCTGTGAGTCGATTCGGTGGAGTCGGTTACTGGAAACCCTCTCAATATAGACTCTATGAAACTGAGGTCACTTTCTCTTCTCCATTCTCTCATATTTTACCTCAATTTTTTGTTTTTTTTTTTCTTTTTGGTTTATGGCAGATTCAACATTTATGTTTCACAGTGTTTAATCCTGGCCTTTCATTTGTTTTCTCCATTAATGGGACTGAAGGACCGAAACTATTTGTAGAACCATCCTTCTTGGTGATTTTGACTGTAATCTTAAATTGATACCAAGTTTTGATGCACTTTTTGGCAATTTCATTTTTTTTTCTTGTCCATATTGAAGAGGAACGTCACATGCACTAATTATGGGTGGGAATTTTTTAATTTATCTTTATCACATGGTACATTTGAGTATTTTATTCTTAGATCTTTAAATGAAATTGTGTGAAGGAATTGAAGCATCATTTGCTTGTTATAGAATGTCCAATAGCCACACTGAAGAGCACCTTAAGAGCCTCATTGTTTAGTAAGTTTAGCTTCTTTTAGACTCTGCTTCATTGATGCATTTTTCTGGTAAAACCTATCTTCGATTTATGTTATTTCACAATAAAAGTAACAGAAATTATAAAAATAAATAAATAAATAAAATGATCCTGTGCTGAAAAAGTTTATAATATTAGCAGCATGCGATGGAGGAGGTTGATATTGCAAATGTGGAAGTGCAAGCATCACAGTTGGAGAAGGACTTGATTTTGAAAGAAAGGGAAACACTAGAAGTTTTAAAAGAGCTGGAATCAACCAAGATGATAGTGGAAGAATTGAAATTGAAGCTACAGAAGGAAGCGTCTGAAGTGAGTATGACACTTGCTTCAAAGACTGATTATAAGAATGAGGCTCCTGTGGTGAATGAAGAAGAAAAGGAAAACCATGTTGAGTCTGTTCAAAATATGGTGGGTGGTTTCAATGCTTGCCCCTCTTCAGCTCCAGGTTTAATCTTAATGGAGCTGAAACAGGCTAAGTTGAACCTTTCCAGGACTACTAGTGATCTTGCTGACATCCGAGCTTCTGTTGAGTCTCTTAACAAGAAATTAGAGAAGGAAAGAATTTCACTGGAGAAAACCCGTGAAAGATTGAGCCTGAATTCTTCCAAGGTATCGTCTCTTGAGGAAGAGCTAAACCAAACAAGACTAAAGCTGCAACAGGCAAAAGATGCTGGTGGTTCTGATAATCCTGTAGATATTTCAATGGAGCTCCAAAGGTTGAGCTCTGAGGCAGAACAATTCAAAAAAGTGGGAGAAGCAGCAAGATCGGAAGTTTTGCGAGCAATATCTGAGATTGAGCAGACAAAAACTAAAATAAAAACAACTGAAATCAGGTTGGTTGCAGCTAGAAAAATGAAGGAAGCAGCTAGAGCAGCAGAAGCTGTTGCTTTCGCAGAGATCAAGGCTCTATCAAACAGTGAGAGCTCATCTGGAGTTCTCTCACCAAAATGTGAGGGAGTAACACTTTCATATGAAGAATATTCTTCCCTAACCTGCAAGGTTCAAGATGCTGAAGAATTATCTAAGAGGAGAGTGGTAGATGCTATGCTTCAAGTCGATGATGCAAATGTTTCTAAAATGGAAATTTTAAAGAGGGTAGAAGAAGCAACCGCAGAAGTCAAAACCAGTAAGAAGGCCTTGGAAGAAGCTCTTAACCGAGTAGAGGCTGCAAATCGGGGGAAGCTGGCAGTGGAAGAGGCTCTTCGGAAATGGAGATCAGAGAATGGCCAGAAAAGACGTTCTGTACACAACTCGACCAAGTTTAAGAATTCTTACCCATCTCAACATCGGAAAGATCCTCGTGTGCTTGATGTAAATGGACTGAATTTGGTCGGTGATGTATCAAACCCTGTTTTGAAGCCAACCTTATCAATAGGTCAAATATTGAGCAGGAAGCTACTCGTCGCAGAGGAGTTTGAGATGGCAGAAAGAGATGCCGTGAAGAGAAAGGTATCCTTGGGCCAAATTCTCAGTAAACAAAATGGTGATGCGCCCTCATTTCGGAAGGCTGAGAAGGAAAATAGTCGCAAGCGGTACTCTGGAAAGAGGAAGAAGTTTGGATTTGCTCGCTTCTCGCTGCTTTTGCCTAAGCAAAGTAAGAAAAAGAAGCCAACTTTAAACTTGAGATGATGCAGTGGATGACCTTCCCGAGCTTTCAATAAGCCACTAACATTTCTAATATGTTTGTCTGTGTCTTGTTTATGTTTAGTCGGAGCTGTCATTTACATTATGTCCTTGTTTATTTGGTTTACTATCTATATTTCTTTGTTGTAAGGATGTTGACGATATTTGTGTACTTAAGCTATGAGATTGTCGTCTAAATATTTCCTGCTTCATTTGCGCATAATATATATATATATATTTTTTTTTTTTTTTGGTGATTGGGTGTCCGGATTAGCTTAATCGTATGTATCTCAATTAATCTTGAGGATCCATTAATAGAGGTGGGATAATCTGGTTGATCGAACCGGATTGGGTAAATCGTAAACTGAACCGATTATTCGGTTTAGGCAAAAAGTTAAATCACCACTAGACTGATTTATTGTATAAACCGAAGTTAAATCAAACCGAATATTAGGATCGGTTTTCAAAAAACCAGATTTTTAGTTCGGCTTTTTAATTCGGTTTGATTTTAAGACGTTTTCTGCCACCTCTATCCATTAAATCCTTTATAGACCTAATGGACCATCACAAATATTATAAATGATCACTTGGTGAAACTAGACTTCTAGGTAACTTAAGTTCTATCATCCGATCACAAATTAAATGAAACTAAACTTCTAGATAATTTAAATTCTATTATCCGGTCACAAACTAAGTAAAACTAGACTTTTAGGTAACTTAAGTTCTATCATCCTGTCACAAATTAAATAAAATTAGACTTATAAGTAACTTAACTTCTATCATCTGGCCACAAACAAAGTGGTTTGCACGTAGAATATTCTTTCCGGTTATTGACCATCACCATCAAATTATTCTGAATGATTAAATGAAAGCCGCCAGTGGCCTTTTAGAATTCACTTAATCATTCAGAATAATTGGTGGGGGTTGAATCCTTGCACGGCACAAAATACACCATAAAAATCCAGTAAATTGAATTATATTTTATAGACACCAATACGCAGTGGCGGACCCAGGATTTATGTTGAGGGGGCCCTTGCGGCTCCGCCGTTATTTGTTAACTAACTATTGAAACTTAAAAAAAAAACCATCAAACATTAAGTAAGAAAATAATACAATATCAAGAAGCTAAAGAAAATGATCAATAACATTTACTTTCCTACTTAATAAATCTACGAGAAGCAAAACCTTGAAAGCAAATATGTAAAATCACATCCAACTCTAAGGAAACACAAGAAAATTTTGATGTGGAAAACCCTCTTAATGCGAAGAGAGCAAAAAATCACAAGAATCTAACAATTCACTTAAATCTAATATAACCAAAAGAGTTCACAGCAACCACATCTCACCAAAATTCAAAAATATTCATACAAATTTAAGTCTAATCACAATTCTAACCACAAGTAAAATATATAAATGTTTATAAAGAAATAATTAAAATCACCAAGAAGCAGTCAACTTTAAGCTTATAACTCCAACCAACTATAAAAATAAATTCAACCATCGAGATTAAAATTTAGCAAAACTTGTCTCATTTACTCATCAACCAAACATACTACAAAAATATACTAAAATAAAAAAATTAGAATTTAGAGCAATATTACTAAACGAAAAGGAGGTAAAAAACCATAAAAGTTTGCCTCATTCTCATCAATCTAACCGACTAAAACCCCCTTAATAAATCTAAATAACAAACTATAGTATCAGAGCAAAGTACAAACAAAAAAACTGTCAAAAAATGAACAAAACTTAGCATCATTTCTCATCAACCTAACATACTAAAAAGCTTAATAAAATAAAATAAAAACTATAGATTTAGAGAAATTACGAAAGATAGACAGAAAAAAAATAATTAATGAACAAAACTTTGCCATTTTCTCATCAGGAAACACAATTAAAGAAAATAACTAAAAATTCAAAGCAAAAAAATAAATAAAAAACACATTAAAAGAAAATGGTGAAAAATCAACCTCATTTTCTCGGTAACCAACCTCCAAGAAACAATTAAAAAGAGTGAACCTTTGAATTTAGAGTTGAAGTTGAAGAGAAGAGCAAGCGTGAGCTTGTATTCAAAGATTAGGTCTCGTATAGTTGCACAAAATTGACAATTTTGGTTTTGAAATAATGATCTATTCTTTCAATTATCTGTATAAGTTTTTTGTCTTTTTTTTTTTTTTATTTTCAGAAAATGGTAAAGGACATTTGCAGAAGTGGGTTTTGATTAATATATAAAGTTTACTCTTGATGATATCTGTAAACTTCAGGAGAATTCTTGTCAAAGTTGAATGTTTTTTAACTAAATTTCAAGGACTATTGCTAGGAATGAGTACTTAAATTGTTTCTGCAAAAGCTTCTGAGTTAAGAGGAAGAGATGGTGTATTGCAAAGGCATTTTTGCATCATTAAAGTTGTGGTGGTTTTTGTTGCATAAAATATGGTAGTGAAAAATGAAAATGCCCTCTGTTCTTGGATTTTTCACACTCATTATTTGGTTATCCTATAAAATTAAAAGTAAAATTTTTAAATTTTTATTTACTCAGGCCAGGCCTACTATCAAATGGCCTGGGTCCGCCCCTGCCAATACGTAAATACAAGTGTGACTGATTCCAATAAAAACACATATTTTAAAATTGCAATTTTAGTATATTCTTCTTAAACGGGGTTTGCCTATTATACTCTTCATCACAATTGTCAAACTTCAATAAGCCACTCAAACAGTGCCAAATCAGCACAAACATTAGAATTATTAAATCATGGTCAACGATACTGCCCGTCAAAATGATACGTCCCCCGTTAGGATTCCGACACGTAAGCAAATTGCTTAACCACAAGAAGCGGATAAGAGTTGCTTACCGCGGAGAAGTAGAACCCTATGTAGATGACTTTTAAAAACCGCCAACAACAATTCTTCGCGTTAGCCCAATCCAACACTCAACGGAATCAAACTTTTCAGTTCCCAATCTCTTGCTCGCCTTCCATTCATTCGCGTCGGTTAATCTTTCCAAAGGTAATCATCGTCTTCCCTCCTTAATTTTAGATTCGAATCAGACTGTTTTAAATAAGAATATATATCTGTAGTTTAAGATCCTGTAGCTGCGGATTCAAATATTGTTAAATTTTCGGCGAGTTTAAATTTTGATTCATGAATTAGTCTTATTTTATATATGCTTCGATCGATTTGATTCTTAGTTTAGGATTCTTGTCAGTTTATTTGGAATCGTGTCGTTGAATATACATATATACTGTGGCCTGCAACTAGTTTTGATTATATGTTTAGAAATATGTTGCCACTAATACTTTTTTCAGTTTATTATTATTGCAATCTATTAATTGAGATTTAGGTTTCCTTTTCAGCTTTTTAACGTTACGAGGTTCTTATTGTCTTGAATTGTTGTAACTTCAGGTATCATGGAGTGGAGAGTTGGGCTCTTATTTCTTTTTCTGTTGGGTGCTAGCTGGGGATGTGATGCTAGAAAATTGGGAGACTCCGAGTATATTGGTAGGAATATGCTTCTATGTTCTTTGTTTATTTGAGGAGGGCAGATTGTGGGGGAAATGTTACAACTTCAAGGGTTTTACTGCTTATGTTCCTGCACTACCTTTATTTTGAAATATTTTGTACTGATAGTAGAGGGTTAACAAATTACCTTGGCCTTTATTTCTAATTGCAGCCAAATTATCAAATTAGTGTTTGTTTAAATAAACACTTCTAGGTTGTCTTAGATGCCCAGTCTATTTTTTGCTACCCAATGTCTCACTTGTATACCTGTTGAACTATGTCAGGACTGTAGTGGTGGTGGTGGCGCACTGTCTCATTCATTCTTCTCTCTAATTCTTTCTTTTATACTTTTTCACTGAGAGAAATAAACAAGTGGAGTTTTACAACTGTCATAATATGTGGTTTAGTTGTCACAATAAAATACAGACCACTCCACTCCATTCATTTCTAATTGTTTGCTATTATTTTACAAATTCAGTGATGTTGAAATTCGATATTTGTGCTTTTCTGATTACTTGATATGGTAGGCTTGCCAAAATTAAATGTCCTCTAAAGTTTCTCATTTAAGATGTTAACACATTTAAGATGTTAAGATGCTTTTGGTGTGTATTGACCCATAGAGGATCCTCTGTACATTGAGAAAGTCATATACAATATGTTGTTATTATTATGTTGTTGTTGTTTTTTTGTTTTTTTATCATGATTGCTGTAAAGTATGCTTGTCATGCTGAAAATAATCTAATGGATTGACATTCTATTTCTTTGTTCAGTTGTTCAGATTAGCAAGCAGGGGCAGGTACAGGGTGGAGCTATAGAAAATGATAATGTGTGCACACTGTGTGAGGAATTTGCAGCCGAGGCAGTTGATTACCTTGCCAACAACAAGACCCAGACTGAGATCATAGACATGCTTCACATGAGCTGCTCTCGTTTGGCTTCTTTCAAGCAGCAGGTAGTCATCTAATTTTAGTTGAGTGGATGTTTTGTTGTAATTGATATTTAATAGTTGCAGTTGGATATAGATGAACTTGTGCTAACCCAAGCCCATCTCGATCTCCTGTTTTTCATCTTTTTTGTTTCAGTTTTGGTCTTAACCTTTGTTCCTTTTCCACTTTGTAGTCAAATAGCCCACCTTGTATGCCCCAATAGTTACCACTGTAGATAGTTAATGATGGGCAGGATAATGTTGTTTCCATCATCATGTGCCTTGTGGTTAGGACGTCAGTTTTTAACATGACCAAAGAACATGGTTCCCCACCTCACCTGAAATTAATGGGTTTGGACTTACCTTTATTATGTTCAAACCAAGATCAGGCTGACCTATTTAACCCAAGATTAAAAAGATCTAGTTCACGTTGACCTGTCTCAATTATAATTTACGCATCCATCTGTCTAAATAATTGTGTCTTGTTGAATCATTTAATAATTCTCATTCAATGCTACCAAAGATACTTAAAAGGTAACCATACAAATAGTTGGAAAGTTCTTGTGGTCGAATGACTGAGAACTTACCCGAATCTTAAATTATGAGCTGTAGTGTAGAGTTTTGCATAACCCAGTGTTTCATTTCTCTCTTTTTTTCTTCCCCATGGAGCACAGTGTAAAACTTTGGTGGACTATTACGCTCCTCTCTTCTTCTTGGAGATCTCCACAGTGCAACCTTCAGATTTCTGTAAAAAGGTCAACCTCTGTCAACAAATGGCAATCTTTTCTTCACAACTACACGAAGATAGCTGTGGGCTTTGTCACCATGCTGTTTCAGAATTACTAGTCAAATTGAAAGATCCGGACACACAGGTTCGTTATTCCATCGTTAGCTAATGACAAGTAAATAAGGCTTGTTGCTACTTAGCTTTTTGTTAACGGCTATTTCAATAACAGGGTCTAAAATGCCTATAAGAACCCAATTCATTTTTTCTAAATAGGAATGTGGAACCAAAGGAAAGATTCTTAGTATAAAAAAAAAAAAAAAAAATACATTATTTTTTTCTTTTTGACTTCGACCTTTGCTTTTCTTTACGTTAAAAAGACAAATTAAAAATATGATATGATAGCCTCAAACCTATTTGGATGAAACAGTGAGGCCAGAGAATTATTGTTGCTATTACAGTTTTTTGTATCCAGAAGTACAACATTGCTGTAAACTTCTTTTAGGATTGGTTTCTATGATTTGTTTTCTGAGGTTTTTATCATATGCTTATAGTATTGCTCTGCAATATAGTAAGAGCCAAAATATTAAAAGGACAATCCCATGTAAAGCACGTTTGATGAATATGTTACAATCAAGTTTCATATCCATCCATTTTATAAAAATGGAACCTCTAATACTGTATGTGGATTTAATGAAACACATTTTATGTAAAACTTAAAAAAGGAGAAGGCAGGTGGAAAAATATATATATTAGCTGGCATTAATGCCAATGCTATACAAGTATACACAAGCCACATTAAGTTTGTCATGCAGTAGATTAAAAGTATATATTAGTTCTGTATATCCTTGTTTTGGTATGCATGGTTCCTTTCTCTGTGAAATTTGTATTGCTACTTATGGCAAACTAGAGACTTATGATCGCTTTTCTCTGTTTTTTTCAGCTTGAGATACTTGAGCTGCTTTTGAAGGGATGTAATTCCATGCAGAACTATGTCAAGAAGGTAAGAAATTAAGAACTTGTAACGAATTACATTATTATGCATCGACTTTATTATAGTTCCTCAAAATCAGTTTATTGACATGTCTATATGTCATAAGAGATATCAATGAATGGTAGAACCATGATCATGATGAATAACCAAATCTAGTTGGGATTTCATTGTCATGTGTATATTTGACTTTGCAAAGGATGGACTACGGGTTATAACTTCCCTGAAGTATATGCTATAATGGGTTCTAATTGATCAATGAATTGCAATTTTCAATTCTATTACATGCTTGGGGACCAAATTGATGTGTTAAGGATCCCTTTTTAAAAAAAATAGTGATACGTCAAGTAGTTTTTAGTTAGGTTTATCTACTAAGTATTAATGTCCTTGACTGTGCTGATCAGTATCTCTAATATTTTGTAACACTATGGCAGTGCAAGAAGATGGTCTTTGAATACGGGCCACTGATCCTTACGAATGCAGAGCAATTTCTGGAAACAACTGATGTATGTACCATGCTTCACGCCTGCAATTCACCTACTACTGGCAGCGTTCCTAGCAGCAGTGAGCAAGTAGCGGAGGTGGTAAAGGTATTGGCCGATTCATAATTATTGCCGATCCAGGATGACCAGAATGGAATGACACGCTTCTTACATACTGTGTAAAAATTTTTACTTTCAGAAATGATTGTACGAACAATTAATTATGGATAATTGTGTGCTGGTGTGAACTGTAAAGTGTAGTGATATTGAAATTTGAATGCTAGTCTGAACCTATCCCAGGAACCGGAAATATCAAAAAAACCATAGTCTGAAAATGCTCTCTGCCGTTGCCAGAGTTAGATCACTGAAATTATTATTTGTTTGTTTGGGGGTTGAATTTTTCTGAAAAATAATTATCCATTTCCCTTTTTTTTCGGCCGCTCCTTCTGCGAAATTCTTCTAAGAGAAGACAATGGGAAATGGCGCACGTGTTTTGTTGACCACCATGAAGTGGAATTACTATATCCTGCAATGTGGAAGGTGCAGAAAACTCTTCCTTCAATTACTACTGAGATAAGAACTAGAACTGTCAACATATACAAACAAAAAATTTTAACTTCCATGAAGTTTCTCACCTGACTCTGTTCATTGAACATTGAATGAGAAGTCTCTGTCAGCCTTCATTTCACGCAAGGGAATTGCTACAGGCTAATGCCATCGCTTAACAGTCTCCTTCAAATTTGGCAACATAAATGATAACCCCACATGCGGATCGTTAAATTTTCTGACTTTTGAAATAGATCTTCATAATCATATCTTCTTTGCCTTTTAAACATTTTTATTATTGTTTCCGGCAAAGCAAATCTTGACAACCCACTGATATGTATGGATATTACCTCGGTGATCCATCGATAAGTTTCTAGAGTTAAAACCCTTTACTTACTGCGAACAGGGCCAAGTAAAAGATGAGAAAGGCATGAAAAACGTGGTAAAAAAGGGTCTGAAATACGAAGAGGAAAATAAAAATTAACATTTACACTTCCTGTGAAATTTCCTAGCAAGACATGAGATTATTTCTTCTAGAGTCAAGACAACTCTTGTCCTGATTCGTGTTTACCTAAAATACCATTGGAATTGAGTCGGTGAAGCTACCTTCTCATACACAAACCGAACGGTCATATAGATCATCACTGATCTTGTAAATGAAGCTTTGAATTTGTGTCAATGGTAGCCACACGTTAATTATAATATACTCTTTCCATTTGATGTGATTATAAAATAAAGATGGGCAATTCAATTACTCTTCGTCTACAGATACGTAATAGAATTGCCCAAAATGATCTACGGCTTCTTTTCTTTTAAGTAAAGAACTCACGACATTCTATTCTATCCACGGCACCAAACAAATTCCCTTGGCTTTCTTCATGTAACGGGAAAGGTATCTAATCAAATACGACGTTGATCTGATCTTACAAAGCCAAATCAGAATTGACTTAATATATGAACAACCTCTACGGATTGCAACCTTCTTCGAGATTTGGTAGGAATTATTTTATCCAGTATGAGGCTATGAGCACCACAAATATTAGGATTTATTAATGTTAAAATAAATTATATAAATATATCAGTCATGTTATGTAGATACTTATTCCCAAAGTATCTATTTTTTAATATCATTTTGTATTTATTATTTTTTATATGAAAACTCTAACAATTCGAGATAATCAATTGACCTTCATGGATATGGGTAAGGTGTATGCATTCTTTAAGATCAACAAGAAATTGATTTAAATAAGAAACAAAAGCGAAACACAATTTTTAAATAGTTTGACATGTAAATTAAGTTTACGTTCATTGTTCTTTATTAATTTTTATATTACAAAATTAAACTCTCTTTCTCTAATTTGGTAAGGATGATTTTTGGGATATATATACAATAAGATCAGAAGATTTCGGGCCATTATGATAACTATTACAGGAGAAGATCTCGAGATGATGACTTGATTTTAGGGAATCATCCCATGATGGGGATAATGCTTATTTTAGAAGAAAGATTTATCCCTGATAGCGAAGATAATTGTCACTGTTTGCTTTAAGCTGGTCGCCCATAATAATTTTCAATTTTAAAAACTATAGCTGAAATGGTTTTGCAAGCTGTTGTTTCGTGGATGTGAGTCTATATAGTTATCAAGTATTGAAAAAAGAAAATAATATTTTTAATATTAAATGCTTTTAACAAGATTTACTATTGAAACCAATCTATGAGACACGTTCTTAATTTAATTTAATTTAATTTTTCATTATACCATGTGTTGCATGGGTTATAAAATATCTTGCACCAAACAAGATCGAATGACTAAAAAGCCCTGTAAAATGGATCATCCGTTGGTAGTTTCAAGGATAAATCTGTACATTCACGTTATGAGCGTGTTTCTGAATGAGCAACCTCTACCGATTGCGACCTTCTTCAGGATTTGGTAGGAATTATTTTATCAAGTATGAGCACCGCAAATATTAGGATTTATTAATGTTAAAATAAATTAATATAAATATATCAGTCATGTTATGTAGATACTTATTCTCAAAGTATCTATTTTTTAATATCATTTCGTATTTTATTATTTTTTAATATGAAAATTCTAACCATTCGAAATACCCAGTTGACCTTCATCGAATTGAGTAAAGTGTGCACATTCTCTTGAAAAATCAGCAAGAAATTGATTTAAAATAAGAAAACAAAAACAAAACACAATTTTTAAAGTGATTTGATACCTTAAATCAAACCTATATCCATTGTTCTTTTATTAATTTTTACATTATAAAATTAAACTCTCTTTCTTTAAGTTTGGTAAGGATGATTTTTTAGGGGTATATATGCAATAAGATGAGTCTGATGAGAAGATTTCGGACCATTATGATAACTATTACGGGAGAAGATTTCGGGATGATGACTTGATTTTAGGGAATCAATCTCATGATCATAAGGGATAGTGCTTATCTTTGAAAATAAGATTTATCCACGATCATGAAAATAATTGTTAAAACAACTCACTTCACCTTAAACATAGCTCGTTTCAATCTAATCGTAGATCTTTTCAACTTGGTCATCGCCTCACAATTTATGTCAAACTTATAAGCTTATAAGCTGGTCAAACTAGTTTATAAACTCTAAAATTAAGTTGACATGTTTGTTTATAACTTTTTTAAGCTTATAAGCAAAAAAAAAAAAAAAAATAAGTTGGGGATACTTTTTTTTTTTTGGACATTTTACCAAACAAGTCAACTACTTATTAATCAATTATAAGTATTTTAATCAAACACATAATTGTTTAAAATTTCAAATGTTTATAAGTTTTCACAAATACCCCTTAATTTAATTTAATTTTTCATTATACCATGTGCTGCACCGGGTTATAAAATGTCTTGCACCAAACAAGATCGAATGGCTAAAAAGCCCTGTAAAATGGATCAACCGTCGGTAGTCTCAAGGATAAATCTGTATATTCACGTTATGAGCGTGTTTCTGAAGGAGAGAGAACTCTAGAAACCGAACAATTTAATTATGGCATAATTGTGTTCTGGTGTGACTGTAAAGTGTATTGTATTGAAATTTGAATGCTAGTCTGTAACCTATCCCAGGAACCGGAAATATACAAAAAAACCATAGTCTGAAAAATGCTCTCTGCCGTTGCCAGAGTTAGATCACTGAAATTATTATTTGTTTGTTTTGGGGTTGAATTTTTCTGAAAAATAATTACCATTTCCCTTTTTTTCGGCCGCTCCTTCTGCGAAATATCTTCTAAGAGAAGAAGGGAAATGGCGCACGTGTTTTGTGACCACCATGAAGTGGAATTACTATATCTGCAATGTGGAAGGTGAGAAAAACCTTCCTTCAATCTACTTGAGATAAGAACTAGAACTGTCAAAATATACAAACAAACAAAATTTTACACTTCCATGAAGTTTCTCACCTGACTTGTTCATTGAACATTGAATGAGAAGTCTCTGTCAGCCTTCATTTCACGCAAGGGAATTGCTACAGGCCTAATGCCATCCTTAACAGTCTCTTCAAATTTGGCACAATAAATGATAACCCACATGCCGGATCGTTAAATTTTTGACCTTTGAAATAGATCTTCATAATCATATTCTTTGCCTTTTAAACATTTTTTATTATTGTTTCCGGCAAAGTCAAATCTGAACAACCCACTGATATGTATGGATATACCCTGGGTATCCATCGATAAGTTTATAGAGTTAAACCCTTTACTTACTGCGAACAGGGCCAAGTAAAAGATGAGAAAGGCATGAAAAAACGTGGTAAAAAAAGGGTCTGAAATACGAAGAGGAAAATAAAAATTACATTTACACTTCCTGTGAAATTTCCTAGCAAGACATGAGATATTTCTTCTAGAGTCAAGAAACTCTTGTCTGATTCGTGTTTACCTAAAATATCCATTGGAATTGAGTCGGTGAAGCTACCTTCCATACACAAACCGAACGGTCATATAGATCATCACTGATCTTGTAAATGAAGCTTTGATTTGTGCAATGGTAGCCACACGTTAATTATAATATACTCTTTCCATATGATGTGATTATAAAATAAAGATGGGCAATTCAATTACTCTTCGTTACAGATACGTAATAGAAATTGCCCAAGAATGATCTACGGCTTCTTTTCTTTAAGTAAAGAACTCACGACATTCTATTCTATCCCGGCACCAACAACAAATTCCCTTGGCTTTCTCATTAACGGGCAAAGGTATCTAATCAAATACGACGTTGATCGATCTTACAAAGCCAAATCAGAATTGACTTAATATATGAACAACCTCTACGGATTGCAACCTCTTCGGATTTGGTAGGAATTATTTTATCCAGTATGAGGCTATGAGCACCACAAATATTAGGATTTATTAATGTTAAAATAATTATAAAATATATCAGTCATGTTATGTAGATACTTATTCCCAAAGTATCTATTTTTAATATCATTTGTATTTATTATTTTTTATATGAAAACTCTAACAATTCGAGATAATCAATTGACCTTCATGGATATGGGTAAGGTGTATGCATATCTTTAAGAATCAACAAGAAATTGATTTAAATAAGAAAACAAAAGCGAAACACAATTTTTAAATAGTGACATGTAAATTAAGTTTACGTTCATTGTCTTTTATTAATTTTTATATTACAAAATTAAACTCTCTTTCTCTAATTTGGTAAGGATGATTTTTGGGATATATATACAATAAGATCAGAAGATTTCGGGCCATTATGATACTATTACAGGAGAAGATCTCGAGATGATGACTTGATTTTAGGGAATCAATCCCATGATGGGATAATGCTTATTTTAGAAGAGAAGATATCCCTGATAGCGAAGATAATGTCACTGTTTGCTTAAGCTGGTCGCCCATAATAATTTTCAATTTTAAAAACTATAGCTGAAATGGTTTGCAAGCTGTTGTTTCGTGGATGTGAGTCAATATGTTATCAAGGATTGAAAAGAAATAATATTTGTGTGAGGAATTTGCAGCCGAGGCAGTTGATTACCTTGCCAACAACAAGACCCAGACTGAGATCATAGACATGCTTCACATGAGCTGCTCTCGTTTGGCTTCTTTCAAGCAGCAGGTAGTCATCTAATTTTAGTTGAGTGGATGTTTTGTTGTAATTGATATTTAATAGTTGCAGTTGGATATAGATGAACTTGTGCTAACCCAAGCCCATCTCGATCTCCTGTTTTTCATCTTTTTTGTTTCAGTTTTGGTGTTAACCTTTGTTCCTTTTCCACTTTGTAGTCAAATAGCCCACCTTGTATGCCCCAATAGTTACCACTGTAGATAGTTAATGATGGGCAGGATAATGTTGTTTCCATCATCATGTGCCTTGTGGTTAGGACGTCAGTTTTTAACATGACCAAAGAACATGGTTCCCCACCTCACCTGAAATTAATGGGTTTGGACTTACCTTTATTATGTTCAAACCAAGATCAGGCTGACCTATTTAACCCAAGATTAAAAAGATCTAGTTCACGTTGACCTGTCTCAATTATAATTTACGCATCCATCTGTCTAAATAATTGTGTCTTGTTGAATCATTTAATAATTCTCATTCAATGCTACCAAAGATACTTAAAAGGTAACCATACAAATAGTTGGAAAGTTCTTGTGGTCGAATGACTGAGAACTTACCCGAATCTTAAATTATGAGCTGTAGTGTAGAGTTTTGCATAACCCAGTGTTTCATTTCTCTCTTTTTTTCTTCCCCATGGAGCACAGTGTAAAACTTTGGTGGACTATTACGCTCCTCTCTTCTTCTTGGAGATCTCCACAGTGCAACCTTCAGATTTCTGTAAAAAGGTCAACCTCTGTCAACAAATGGCAATCTTTTCTTCACAACTACACGAAGATAGCTGTGGGCTTTGTCACCATGCTGTTTCAGAATTACTAGTCAAATTGAAAGATCCGGACACACAGGTTCGTTATTCCATCGTTAGCTAATGACAAGTAAATAAGGCTTGTTGCTACTTAGCTTTTTGTTAACGGCTATTTCAATAACAGGGTCTAAAATGCCTATAAGAACCCAATTCATTTTTTCTAAATAGGAATGTGGAACCAAAGGAAAGATTCTTAGTATAAAAAAAAAAAAAAAAAATACATTATTTTTTTCTTTTTGACTTCGACCTTTGCTTTTCTTTACGTTAAAAAGACAAATTAAAAATATGATATGATAGCCTCAAACCTATTTGGATGAAACAGTGAGGCCAGAGAATTATTGTTGCTATTACAGTTTTTTGTATCCAGAAGTACAACATTGCTGTAAACTTCTTTTAGGATTGGTTTCTATGATTTGTTTTCTGAGGTTTTTATCATATGCTTATAGTATTGCTCTGCAATATAGTAAGAGCCAAAATATTAAAAGGACAATCCCATGTAAAGCACGTTTGATGAATATGTTACAATCAAGTTTCATATCCATCCATTTTATAAAAATGGAACCTCTAATACTGTATGTGGATTTAATGAAACACATTTTATGTAAAACTTAAAAAAGGAGAAGGCAGGTGGAAAAATATATATATTAGCTGGCATTAATGCCAATGCTATACAAGTATACACAAGCCACATTAAGTTTGTCATGCAGTAGATTAAAAGTATATATTAGTTCTGTATATCCTTGTTTTGGTATGCATGGTTCCTTTCTCTGTGAAATTTGTATTGCTACTTATGGCAAACTAGAGACTTATGATCGCTTTTCTCTGTTTTTTTCAGCTTGAGATACTTGAGCTGCTTTTGAAGGGATGTAATTCCATGCAGAATTATGTCAAGAAGGTAAGAAATTAAGAACTTGTAACGAATTACATTATTATGCATCGACTTTATTATAGTTCCTCAAAATCAGTTTATTGACATGTCTATATGTCATAAGAGATATCAATGAATGGTAGAACCATGATCATGATGAATAACCAAATCTAGTTGGGATTTCATTGTCATGAGTATATTTGACTTTGCAAAGGATGGACTACGGGTTATAACTTCCCTGAAGTATATGCTATAATGGGTTCTAATTGATCAATGAATTGCAATTTTCAATTCTATTACATGCTTGGGGACCAAATTGATGTGTTAAGGATCCCTTTTTAAAAAAAATAGTGATACGTCAAGTAGTTTTTAGTTAGGTTTATCTACTAAGTATTAATGTCCTTGACTGTGCTGATCAGTATCTCTAATATTTTGTAACACTATGGCAGTGCAAGAAGATGGTCTTCGAATATGGGCCACTGATCCTTACGAATGCAGAGCAATTTCTGGAAACAACTGATGTATGTACCATGCTTCATGCCTGCAATTCGCCTACTACTGGCAGCTTGCCTAGCAGCAGTGAGCAAGTAGCGGAGGTGGTGAAGGTATTGGCCGATTCATAATTATTGCCGATCCAGGATGACCAGAACGGAATTACACGCTTCTTACATACTGTGTAAAAATTTTTACTTTCAGAAATGATTGTACAACAATTAAATTATGGCATAATTGTGCTTCTGGTGTGTACTGTAAAGTGTATCTTGTATTGAAATTTGAATGCTAGTCTGTAACCTATCCCAGGAACCGGAAATACAAAAAAAAACCATAGTCTGAAAAATGCTCTCTGCCGTTGCCAGAGTTAGATCACTGAAATTATTATTTGTTTGTTTTTGGGGTTGAATTTTTCTGAAAAATAATTATCCATTTCACCCTTTTTTTTCCGGCCGCTCCTTCTGCGAAATATCTTCTAAAGGGGAAATTGCGCACGTGTTTTGTTGACCACCATGAAGTGGAATTACTATATCATGCAATGTGGAAGGTGAAGAAAACGCTTCCTTCAATCTACTGAGATAAGAACTTAGAACTGTCAACATTATACAAACAAACAAATTTTAACTTCCATGAAGTTTCTCACCTGACTCTGTTCATTGAACATTGAATGAGAAGTCTCTGTCAGCCTTCATTTCACTGCAAGGGGAATTGCTACAGGCCTAATGCCATCTGTTTAACAGTCTCCTTCAAATTTGGCAACAATAAATGATAACCCCACATGCAGGATCGTTAAATTTTCTGACCTTTTGAAATAGATCTTCATAATCATATCTTCTTTGCCTTTTAAACACTTTCTATTTTTATTTCCGGCAAAGTAAAATCTTGAACAACCCACTGATATGTATGGATATTACCCTCTGGGTATCCATCGATAAGTTTCTAGAGTTAAAACCCTTTACTTACTGCGAACCAGGGCCAAGTAAAAGATGAGAAAGGCATGAAAAAACGTGGTAAAAAAAGGGTCTGAAATACGAAGAGGAAAATTAAAAATTAACATTTACACTTCCTGTGAAATTTCCTAGCAAGACATGAGATTATTTCTTCTAGAGTCAAGACAACTCTTGTCCTGATTCGTGTTTACCTAAAATATCCATTGGAATTGAGTCGGTGAAGCTACCTTTCTCATACACAAACCGAACGGTCATATAGATCATCACTGATCTTTGTAAATGAAGCTTTGAATTTGTGTCAATGGTAGCCACACGTTAATTATAATATACTCTTTCCATTTATGATGTGATTATAAAATAAAGATGGGCAATTCAATTACTCTTCGTCTACAGATACGTAATAGAAATTGCCCAAGATGATCTACGGCTTCTTTTCTTTTAAGTAAAGAACTCACGACATTCTATTCTATCCACCGGCACCAACAACCAAATTCCCTTGGCTTTCTTCATGTAACGGGCAAAGGTATCTAATCAAATACGACGTTGATCTGATCTTACAAAGCCAAATCAGAATTGACTTAATATATGAACAACCTCTACGGATTGCAACCTTCTTCGAGATTTGGTAGGAATTATTTTATCCAGTATGAGGCTATGAGCACCACAAATATTAGGATTTATTAATGTTAAAATAAATTAATATAAATATATCAGTCATGTTATGTAGATACTTATTCCCAAAGTATCTATTTTTTAATATCATTTTGTATTTTATTATTTTTTTATATGAAAACTCTAACAATTCGAGATAATCAATTGACCTTCATGGATATGGGTAAGGTGTATGCATTATCTTTAAGAATCAACAAGAAATTGATTTAAAATAAGAAAACAAAAGCGAAACACAATTTTTAAAATAGTTTGACATGTTAAATTAAGTTTACGTTCATTGTTCTTTTATTAATTTTTATATTACAAAATTAAACTCTCTTTCTCTAAATTTGGTAAGGATGATTTTTGGGATATATATACAATAAGATCAGAAGATTTCGGGCCATTATGATAACTATTACAGGAGAAGATCTCGAGATGATGACTTGATTTTAGGGAATCAATCCCATGATGGGGATAATGCTTATTTTAGAAGATAAGATTTATCCCTGATAGCGAAGATAATTGTCACTGTTTGCTTTAAGCTGGTCGCCCATAATAATTTTCAATTTTAAAAACTATAGCTGAAATGGATTTTGCAAGCTGTTGTTTCGTGGATGTGAGTCATATATAGTTATCAAGATGTTGAAAATTAATAATTCATTTATTAATATTAAATTATTTAAACAAGATTTACTATTGAAACCAATCTATGAGACACGTTCTTAATTTAATTTAATTTAATTTTTCATTATACCATGTGTTGCATGGGTTATAAAATATCTTGCACCAAACAAGATCGAATGACTAAAAAGCCCTGTAAAATGGATCATCCGTTGGTAGTTTCAAGGATAAATCTGTACATTCACGTTATGAGCGTGTTTCTGAATGAGCAACCTCTACCGATTGCGACCTTCTTCAGGATTTGGTAGGAATTATTTTATCAAGTATGAGCACCGCAAATATTAGGATTTATTAATGTTAAAATAAATTAATATAAATATATCAGTCATGTTATGTAGATACTTATTCTCAAAGTATCTATTTTTTAATATCATTTCGTATTTTATTATTTTTTAATATGAAAATTCTAACCATTCGAAATACCCAGTTGACCTTCATCGAATTGAGTAAAGTGTGCACATTCTCTTGAAAAATCAGCAAGAAATTGATTTAAAATAAGAAAACAAAAACAAAACACAATTTTTAAAGTGATTTGATACCTTAAATCAAACCTATATCCATTGTTCTTTTATTAATTTTTACATTATAAAATTAAACTCTCTTTCTTTAAGTTTGGTAAGGATGATTTTTTAGGGGTATATATGCAATAAGATGAGTCTGATGAGAAGATTTCGGACCATTATGATAACTATTACGGGAGAAGATTTCGGGATGATGACTTGATTTTAGGGAATCAATCTCATGATCATAAGGGATAGTGCTTATCTTTGAAAATAAGATTTATCCACGATCATGAAAATAATTGTTAAAACAACTCACTTCACCTTAAACATAGCTCGTTTCAATCTAATCGTAGATCTTTTCAACTTGGTCATCGCCTCACAATTTATGTCAAACTTATAAGCTTATAACTGGGTCAAACTAGTTTATAAACTCTAAAATTAATTGACATGTTTGTTTATAAATTTTTTAAGCTTATAAGACAAAAAAAAAAAAAAAATAAGTTGGGATACTTTTTTTTTTTTGGACATTTTACCAAACAAGTCCACTACTTATTAATCAATTATAAGTATTTTATCAAACACATAATTGTTTAAAATTTCAAAGTTTATAAGTTTTCACAAATACCCCTAATTTAATTTAATTTTTCATTATACCATGTGCTGCACCGGGTTATAAAAATGTCTTGCACCAAACAAGATCGAATGGCTAAAAAGCCCTGTAAATGGACAACCGTCGGTAGTCTCAAGGATAAATCTGTATATTCACGTTAGGAGCGTGTTTCTGAAGGAGAGAGAACTCTAGAAACCGGGAAGTGGGAACACCGAAACGGTCCGATGCCCAGAGTCGACACAAACAAACAAAATACCGAGGAAACGTCAGGATTACGTGGCATCATAAAAATATTGGGGCCACGTGTATGGTAAAAAGCGTCTGACCTGTAGAGAGGTCTGCTGTCACAGGACACATACTTCAAACCACAGGTGGGTGTCCTAATTGGCCATCATTGTCTGGTTATCATTAATAGATTATAAGCGGGAAGTTTCATTAGACGCGTCCAAAGCTGAAAATTGTTAGACCCAGATCTCTGAAGGAACCTATATCGTCGAATTCAGCACGTTAAATATAACAGCAGTGAGTGGTAATTTCGTATTCAGTTGGAAAAAAACTGAAAATAATAAAGAGTGGTAGGATAAAAGCAAAGCATATGAAGTACGAGAGTTTGAAGCAGTCGTGTAAAAATCATAATTGCCATCGCCTCTCATCTTCTGACTTACCGGAGGGATCTTCTTCTCAACTTGAAACGGTACGTTTTATCTCTCCTTTTACCTATGCAGACGTTCTGTTTGAATAATTTTTTTTCTTTAAGTTTCTGCAATCTGCTTGTGTTCTTGTTTCTGAATTTTTTTTTTTTTTCGAAACAGTTTTATGTTTAGCTTGAAATCTTGTGATTCTTTGTATGGGGGAATGCCGGTGAAATTAGTCTTTATTTTCCAGGATTCGATGATTGTTCATGATTCAGTTTTATTTTCTTGATTTTTCTGGTCAAATTTTCTGTGTTCCCAAACCCAGCCAACTAATTTTCCAAAATAGTCTGGGTGTGCTTGTTTTATTATTCCAATGGTATTCTATTCAAAATGCTTTTTTTTTTCGTTGTTATTAAAATTTAATTATATTTTATCCAATTTAAAATATTTATAATTTTTTAACACCTGTAAAAGTTTATAAATTAATAAAAATACCTAATCCAACCATATGTTTTCACAGCTGACAGTCAGTTATTATCATTTAATAAATGAATGAGATATTTTTATTAATTTAAAAATTTTTATTATAGGAAGTGTTTACAAAATAAATAAATATAAAGAATTAAAAAATAATTTTACCAAACACATTTTTAAATTCAAATTCTTTCTACAATAATAAATAATCCAATACAACTTTTACAAAAATACTAACGGAAATAATAAATCAAACCTGTGTGCCGTTCTCTTTTTTTCTTTCTCAATTATTACGTCGTGAAATGTTTAGGCAGTTAAAGAAAGTATGAAAATAAAAAGTTTAATGCTGTCTTAGCTGTCGCTAGATTTGATCACTGAACCTCCAGCTGTGTACAGCTCGTAATTAATTTCTTGATTTTATATTATATTTTTTCTCTTAATTATTCAGAAATATGATGTTCATATTTTTACTTGGTTTTGCAGGCTATTTGAGAGCAAATCTAAATTTATAGCAATCACTTGTGTGTTTCTCAACATTCTGCCAAAGTTTAATCATTAATCTTTTGCCTTCTCGTCAGTATTCTCTAGTTTATAAAGATTACAAAGCCTGGTAAGTGGGAATGCTGAAAGATGTGCTTGAAAGTTGAAAATTACTTGGTTGAGGTTAATGAAGTGTTAGCTCCATTTGATTTTGAGCAGCACTTGTTCATCCTTGATGAGATTCAACTTCAACATTTTACTTACACCCCATTTCAGTTCCCGGCTCAGAAGCCCAGTATAGGTAGATTTTTGAGAAAACGGGTGATGTTAAAGCATGATGTGTGCGAAGATGGTTAAGATTTTTATGTTCTTGAGTCAATTCCAGTCTTAGAGTTTGCTTAGATATTGTGTAGTTAACTTTTGGGTAGAGTAGAGTTTATTGTGTATAGAGACTACAATTCAGAATGGAAAATAAAGGGAGCATATTGATGCAACGGTATGAATTAGGGAAATTACTAGGCCAAGGAACCTTTGCCAAGGTTCACCATGCGAGAAATCTTAAAACTGGCATGAGTGTGGCTATTAAGATAATAGACAAAGGGAAGGTCTTGAAGGTTGGGATGATGAATCAGATTAAACGAGAAATATCTGTGATGAGACTGGTTAAGCACCCAAATGTGGTGGAGCTTTATGAGGTTATGGCGAGCAAAACCAAGATTTACTTTGTAATGGAATATGTTAAAGGTGGTGAGCTTTTCAATAAGGTAGCCAAAGGAAAACTCAAGGAGGATGTTGCAAGGAAATATTTTCAACAGCTGATTTGTGCTGTTGATTACTGTCACAGTAGAGGAGTCTGCCATCGGGATCTAAAGCCTGAAAACCTATTGTTGGATGAGCAGGGTAATCTTAAGGTTTCAGATTTTGGATTGAGTGCACTTGCTGAAACTAAGCATCAAGATGGGCTACTCCACACAACCTGCGGGACCCCTGCTTATGTTGCTCCAGAAGTGATTAATAGAAAAGGCTACGATGGATCCAAAGCTGATATATGGTCATGTGGAGTTATCTTGTATGTTCTTCTAGCTGGCTATCTCCCGTTTCATGATTCAAATCTGATGGAGTTGTATAGGAAGATCGGTAAGGCAGAGTTTAAATTCCCTACCTGGTTTTCCCAGGAAGTACGCCGGTTTTTGTCAAAAATCTTGGATCCAAACCCATGTACGAGGATATCCATGGCCAAGATAATGGAAAATTCGTGGTTTCGCAAGGGATTGGAAAAACCCATTGTTTATGAAACAGAAGGGAAAGAACTGACCCCTCTGAATGCTGATGCAGTTTTTAATCTGAATGGAAACAGCAGTACTACAGCAGAGTTGAAGACTGAATTGGCAAAGCCTTGCAATTTGAATGCTTTCGATATTATTTCCTTTTCTGCAGGCTTTGACTTGTCTGGTTTATTCGAGGAGAGAGAACGAAGAAGGGAAATGAGATTCACCTCCAACAAGCCAGCCTCAACAATCATCTCTAAGCTGGAAGACATTGCTAAACGTCTTAGGCTGAAAGTAAGAAAGATAGATGGAGGTTTGCTGAAAATGGAAGGCTCCAAGGAAGGCAGGAAAGGAGTGTTGGGCATTGATGCAGAGATCTTTGAAATCACTCCTCATTTCCATTTGGTGGAGGTTAAAAAGAGCAGTGGAGATACACTTGAGTATCAGGAGACGATGAAACAAGACATAAGACCATCTCTCAAGGACATTGTTTGGACTTGGCAAGGAGAGCAGCAACAGAAACAAGAAGAAGAACAAGCAGCACAACAACCAGAGCAGCAAGAAGGACAGCCTTCTCAAGCCCTCCCATTGCAGCAGGTTCACCCAGCTCTGGATTCATGATAATATTATATTTAACTGCTATGTTTTATATGGTTTCTTTTAGACATGTAATTGGATTGCTATTTTCATGCATCTTCTTAAGTAAAAGAACGATAATTTCAACTCTCTTTTATTATTCTTCCATGTCAAGTTTGTTACCAAGTGTTGATGTGTAGGGAAAAGCAAAAACAAGAGGAACTAGTACAGGGCAAAATGTGAATGCTTAAATCAGTGCAAACTGTTTTGTAATAGTACTAGAAAGAAGATTGAATGGTAGTTTGGGGGCGTATATGACAAGTAACAATGAGGACACAAGTTATTGGGTCAAGTTGAGCAAGTCAATGGGATCAGCACGCAAACCACCAGCGGGGAATGGCAGAATGAAATATCAAAATCCATCTTCGTTCACACAGTATAGAATAAACTGAAGAGTGAACAGTGAAGAGAAGACATAGTTAGTCAACTAAATACATAAGGTGAAATTACCATAGAAAATAATTTTAAATAGTAAGTTGTGTATGACCTCAAATAATTTAATCAGTGTCGCTTAAGGAGATTTATCTTTTTCCCAAGTATTTGTATACAAAAGGATGTATAATAACAAAAAATTTCATGATGTTAATGAAACCCTTTACATTAATATTATTATGAGGGCGTTTGGATCATATAATGTTCTTTTATCTTAGTAATAAGATTACTGAAAAGAAAGATTACATTGTAGATTACCAGATTTAAATTATTATTGTACTTGGTTTAATTAGGATGTATTAATAATTAATGTGTTTGGTTGAAATCCTTGTTTGTTTAATTATTTGGAAAATACTATTCTAGTTTTTTAATTACTTTTAGACTCTTTAAGTTTATTAACTTAATTAAACACCCCCAAAAAAAAAGTTTAAAAATTAACAAAAACAACCCCATCCACCCATAGTTGCCAGATAGTGGTGGTCGGAATCTGTCACAACAGCTTAAAAACGACCGAAAAAGGCTAGATCGACACACCACCGGCCAGATTCGACAAGTCTAAGTCATAACGGTAGATTCCGACCAGATTCCGACGATAGTGGTCGGAATCTGGCACTGTGGAGATGGGGGTGTTTTTGTCANAAGTTTAAAAATTAACAAAAACAACCCCATCCACCCATAGTTGCCAGATAGTGGTGGTCGGAATCTGTCACAACAGCTTAAAAACGACCGAAAAAGGCTAGATCGACACACCACCGGCCAGATTCGACAAGTCTAAGTCATAACGGTAGATTCCGACCAGATTCCGACGATAGTGGTCGGAATCTGGCACTGTGGAGATGGGGGTGTTTTTGTCATTTTACCTATTGGTGTTTTGTAATTATTAACAAAGTCAAGGATATTTTCGTCCACATTGTCCACTGTTTTGGGGCAAAATTGAACAGAAATTTGGATTACTGAAGTAATATTTTAATATCACCCTCCCCCCAAGTAATATTATTCCCGGTGATTTATCCCTTTTTTTGGCACTATTTGTCATCTTATTTTCCAGTAATGTTTTTGTACAAAAATGTTAAACATGGTAATATGCTCAATTAAACAAATATTACCCTTGTTAAAAAATTTCAACCCAATCCAAACGGGCCCTATAAGTTAGGAAATAGAGTAATACTAGGTTCACAATCTAATTTTACTATTCTCAATGTGATAGTTTATCATTTGGCAGCTCATAAAATAAGTCTCACCTACTTGTATAGTAGGTCTCGCCTATCCATTTGCGAGCTAATCAATAACGAACTACTATGTCAAGAATTGTGAGAGAAGATTGTAAATCTAATATAAATGTAATAAATACTACTAAATTATCCTCTCTTTTTTTTGATATTTTTGTTATTTCAAAAACCCTATGAATGATTTTTGTGATTATAATACTATATTATACCTTAAGGAGATAAACGCCATTAACTCCTATATTAATATTATGTGTAGGTTAAGAAGACCCACATTTTTTAACAAAAAAATTTTAGCTGCTAAATTAATGTATTTGAATGATTGAGATTCTTTTTAAAATTGTAAAATTTTTAAAATACATTAATTATGTAAATTACATTTAATATGAATCATCGAATACCTTCCTCGATGACTAAATTATTTTATATTTTCTGTTGAAAAAATTGGTGCCTTTAGGATGAACCATACATCATTAATCACATAATCAGATCGGTGTCACAAAGGAATAACACAACATAAAAGGCAGTGCGGTTAGTATCAATCTCAAATTTAAAACTACCAAGCAAGAATCATCAAGGAAATAACAAACCACCCAACTAAATCAAGCAAATGCTCATCTGCAATGGCTAATATCTCTAAAGCCAACAGCAGCTGTTCAAAGCCTCAAAGAGTGCAAGAACCATGCTGGCAAAAATCTGCAACAACATTATTACCTTATAGATGACACATCAAATCACCATGGGCAGAGCCGCCACTGAGAAAAGTAAAAGCTGGGTGTTTGATTTTATAGATAGCTATTCAAATTTTGGGAGTGGGTACCTCTCCAAGAACATATTAGCAAAAACCTAACCCAGGGGGAAGGGGAATAACTACATGATCTGTAAACAGAAGCAACTTGAATTTGTATCATCTGATGATTTTAAAAAGAGGATAAGCAGCAAGTATTAAGAGGAATTAGCTCTATACTCCACAGAACAATATTTCCTTAAAATGGGGACACCCCCTCCCCCCAGCAGAAAGAAGTTAAAAAAGAATTAAAGAAACTTAACATATCTAGCTGCTGCTGCTACCTGATTCACAAGTCAATGCATGCCACGTGTATACCTATCCAAACTAATGTAAGTAAATGTCAATCTCCCTTATAAAATAGAAGAAGGAAGATACAATTCGTTCAGTGTGCTAAACTCCCACCAAAAGAGGTTGTTTGCCTCTAGTGAATAGGAGGTGTATTTAAGAACCTCATACTCCTTTTTCATTCAAAAGACCAAAGTGACTGTACATCTGTGTTGGGAAATAAACCCCCAATATGGGGCCTCGAGACAGATGACTTTCCAACCGCTTCTCCTGTAGCCTGAGCAGTCCAATCCTTTCTGCCAAACAAGATTCAGACAACAATTGTGAGATTTTAAACACCTTAAATCATAAATACAAAGAACATATGCCAAGCCAAAAGGGGCCAAAACAACTAATTAAGAATAAATCTATCGTGAAAACAAGACTTCATGTCTTGGAATAGAACCTACTTAGACAAGAAAACCATTAACAAACTTCACCATCCAGTAAACTATAAACTTAAGGTCTCCACAATGACAGAAAACTAAGAAATCCGGATTAGCAGATATACAAAGAGTTCCAATGAATGGCAATAATGCAAAAGACTTATTTTATAAAACTAATAATTGAAAACCAGTGAGAGATTTATTAGAACTAGACAAACTGGTTGAGAGATCTCTATAAATAGAAAAGTAATAAAGCTATCAGGGGTAATACTTTTCTTATTATGTTCACTGGCAATTAGAGGATGATTTATTCGACTAACTCTTTCTATAGGTTGTAAAAGTTTACGTGCAGATGAACATTGATTGACATTTTAACTCGGAATGAAAAATGAAAATAAACACATATAAGAAAATCATTACAACCTATAGAAAGTTAAGCAAGAAAATGCACAGCTAGCAGTTACAGTGATGAGTTTTTAAATTAAAAAAGCATTTTTCCTTCATATAGATGCATCAGCAATCAGTCAGCAGTTATCACATTTAGCTTCTTGCTTAGATATACAAAATCAAATTAGGATAAACTATAAAAACGACAAAAAAAGCTTGTAGAAATTTCACACCAAAGTTTCTTTAACATATCTGTTAGAGAGATAACATATTCAAAAATGAAAGAAAAAATCAGAATTACTTCCTGAACAGATACTTCCTTTAAAGACAGGTTAGCGGCAGACATTTTAGTTCTAATCAATGCAGCAGATGCTACAGAGACTTGACGATGTCGGCCTAAATATTCAAAGGTCAATCTATCATAACTCAAGTTCTTCATTAAGACAAGACTTAAATACCTAACTGTTACAATCTATTTTGATCAAACAACTTAGGGTGTTGAGCTATTATTGTTAACAACTGTTTACCCCAATGGATTAAAGTAAATGGATGGTTTAAGATTGGTGACAAATATTTAAGTAAAAATCCCAGTCATCAGACCTAATCCAAAGTTAATACCGCAAATATTATTGGTTCGATACAGGCTCATCATGGCCTTGGGTGGAAAGTGCAGATTTTACAAAATATTTAATAACACAGTTGTTGTCAGACTCTTCTAGCAAGACAATGACACGTAACTAAAAGACCCTCACTAAATCCCAGAGAGGTCTATGCAATAAATATACGAAGGAAAGCTTTATTGAATTTAGTAGCATCCTATAATACCATTTATGCTATCATTACGGTTTCTTTTTCCATCCAATTAGAATCTGCCCTCTACTTATCAAGATTCATTTATCAGATGTACATATGATGTGATGGTGTACTACAGAATCAAGAGATTCAAGAGCAAAATAAACTTTAACTGAAGATCTTCTAATCATCCATAATAACAAGCAAAAAATAATTCTGTTTTATATCTTAAATCTTCTATAATTTTGGAATAGAATTTTTACTACTGTCTCTACACTAACAACATGCAGAAATCACCATTAGAGGGGAAAATATTGCTCAAAATTCCTAGCTAGTCAGTACATATCACCAATTTAAATGCCATGAGCGTGATATGATATTTCATCACACGATATTTGTTTTAACAATGTGAAGAGTCCCATCTGACCTTACCACTTCGTTTTTATTTATTTATTTTTGTTATTCAAATGCATATCAAGAAAGTACAATAGCAAAATAACATAGTGAGTCTTAAAGTTTGATGCACTCACTTGGACCAACAATTTGCTGGAGACAGGTCAAATGAATGGTTAGTTGCAGATCCACTGGGACTCCCATATATCATTTCATTTTGAGTACTATCTTCCTGTGCTCTGAGAGAAAACTGGTCATTGGCCGACAATGGCCGAAAGAAAGCATTCTGTAACCACGGATCATGATCACTTGAACCAGTTACAGGGCTAAATGCCCCACCATTCTGGCCACTACCAAGAAAAACCTTCTGAGGAGAATGAGTGCCAGAAAGGACTGGGTCCTCTTTTGTGAACAGTGATACCATTGTCTTTTGAGAAGAAGGATGCACAAAGTCTTCCTTGTTTGATCTATTCCGTTCTGGGGGTAAAATCCAGCTTGGGGGGCCACCTACCAGACCTAGACCATCCTGCCCAAGAGGAGAAGTGTTCCACATCTGCCATGTTCCATTCTCAGTTCCATTCGTATCATCCACTGGATATGTGTGCATATCTTGAACCATAGGTGTACTTGGAAACCAATTAGAATTGTTATGCTTTTCATCAGCAACTCGCAATCGTGACAATGGAGACTCAATTGGAGATGGCTTACTGACTTCAGAGGTAAAAGACGCATTCTTCAAAGCATGAGCCCTTTCAGATCCGATGTCTTTTGCAAAACCAGCCCCCAGGTCCAGTTGAAAATTATCAAGCGACTCAGAAACAGGCCCAAGCAAAGATATTGGATCAGGCACATAACATGGATCTTCAAAAAGCTCTGTCTCTTCAGGTATAAATTCATGAGGTCCGTCTCCAACGCGAGGTAAGATCGGTTCAATTACCGGAGAAAACCCTAAACTACTAGCAGTGGAAACATTCGGATAGGTAGATAGTGTAAATGGTGATGGCAGCCCAAAATTGATTGGATTATCAAATGTTTGCATTGCTGACGATTGAGCAGGTAATGGTGGACTTTGAACTTCGGTGGGCAATTTCGGATTTGGTCTACTAATGACATTAGTATTTGAGGTAGCAGGAACTGATGATGAACGTGTGAATAACTGTTGCCATGATTTTTTTGTTGTAGTCCTTGGTTGTGGTTCGGCAAGCACCTACAGTGAACAGCTCAATATTGTAACACTGTTATCCTTCTTATATATATATATATTGTTAGAGATCACCAAAAAGATATCTTCATTGAACCATAAAACTTGACCATATATGATAATATGTAGCCTCTTAACTCAACGATTCCAAAACCTTAAGTTATAACTAAAAAATGCACAAAAGGGATTTAATTAATAGGTAAAGGATTGTCAATTTTGTGTTGAAGAGAAAGTTAAACATTTTCATTGTCATACTAAAATGATGCAGAAAAATAAAATCTGTAGCAAGACAACTTACAGGGCGGTTGATGCTTTTATCATCTCCATGTATTAACTTCCCAGCACGGTCAGATGGATAAAAATCTCTCCTCTGGGCAGAAGGGTGAAAATGATCTACTGAACTAATAGACTTGTTCTCTTTTGCAACGGTAACAGGATTATTAGCACCCTTTCCAAAGAAACTACCTCCACTAAAAGCTTTTGAAGAAGACAAAAATGTACCTTTCATACGATCCAGGTACCTAGTCCCAGCATTTTCCCGAGTATAATTACTTGCAGAAGTTTTTCCACCATGTACTGTTTCCATGCCATGGCTCTTGACAATATCTGTACCAAATTTCTGATGTTCACGCCGATCATTCTCACTCTTCCTATCAAAATCACGCTTCCGCTCATTTTCCTTTCCAGCTTTCTTTTCCAGTTCTTCTGCATCAGAGTTACTCTTACTAGACCCCTTGTCCCTCTCTTTTCTTCTTTCCTGACGCTTTCTTTCCGCTTCTCTCTTACTATCCTTCTCCTTGACAGAAGGTGAAGTTATGCCTCGTTCTTTTTCAGCCTCCATCTTCTCATCCCTGAGTCTCCTATGTTCCTCCACCAACCTTGCAACCTCCTCCCTCTGTTTTCGCTCTTCCTCTTCCAAAAGCTCCTTCTCTAACCTAGCCTGTCTCTTCTCCTCAGCTTTTCTGCGTGCAATCCTTTCTGCCAAACAAGATTCAGACAACAATTGTGAGATTTTAAACACCTTAAATCATAAATACAAAGAACATATGCCAAGCCAAAAGGGGCCAAAACAACTAATTAAGAATAAATCTATCGTGAAAACAAGACTTCATGTCTTGGAATAGAACCTACTTAGACAAGAAAACCATTAACAAACTTCACCATCCAGTAAACTATAAACTTAAGGTCTCCACAATGACAGAAAACTAAGAAATCCGGATTAGCAGATATACAAAGAGTTCCAATGAATGGCAATAATGCAAAAGACTTATTTTATAAAACTAATAATTGAAAACCAGTGAGAGATTTATTAGAACTAGACAAACTGGTTGAGAGATCTCTATAAATAGAAAAGTAATAAAGCTATCAGGGGTAATAATTTTCTTATTATGTTCACTGGCAATTAGAGGATGATTTATTCGACTTACTCTTTCTATAGGTTGTAAAAGTTTACGTGCAGATGAACATTGATTGACATTTTAACTCGGAATGAAAAATGAAAATATACACATATAAGAAAATCATTACAACCTATAGAAAGTTAAGCAAAAAAATGCACAGCTAGCAGTTACAGTGATGAGTTTTTAAATTAAAAAAGCATTTTTCCTTCATATAGATGCATCAGCAATCAGTCAGCAGTTATCACATTTAGCTTCTTGCTTAGATAAACAAAATCAAATTAGGATAAACTATAAAAACGACAAAAAAAGCTTGTAGAAATTTCACACCAAAGTTTCTTTAACATATCTGTTAGAGAGATAACATATTCAAAAATGAAAGAAAAAATCAGAATTACTTCCTGAACAGATACTTCCTTTAAAGACAGGTTAGCGGCAGACATTTTAGTTCTAATCAATACAGCAGATGCTACAGAGACTTGACAATGTCGGCCTAAATATTCAAAGGTCAATCTATCATAACTCAAGTTCTTCATTAAGACAAGACTTAAATTCCTAACTGTTACAATCTATTTTGATCAAACAACTTAGGGTGTTGAGCTATTATTGTTAACAACTGTTTACCCCAATGGATTAAAGTAAATGGATGGTTTAAGATTGGTGACAAATATTTAAGTAAAAATCCCAGTCATCAGACCTAATCCAAAGTTAATACCGCAAATATTATTGGTTCGATACAGGCTCATCATGGCCTTGGGTGGAAAGTGCAGATTTTACAAAATTTTTAATAACACAGTTGTTGTCAGACTCTTCTAGCAAGACAATGACACGTAACTAAAAGACCCTCACTAAATCCCAGAAAGGTCTATGCAATAAATATACGATGGAAAGCTTTATTGAATTTAGTAGCATCCTATAATACCATTTATGCTATCATTAAGGTTTCTTTTTCCATCCAATTAGTTTTTCCATCCAATTAGAATCTGTCCTCTACTTATCAAGACTCATTTATCAGATGTACATATGATGTGATGGTGTACTACAGAATCAAGAGATTCAAGAGCAAAATAAACTTTAACTGAAGATCTTCTAATCATCCATAATAACAAGCAAAAAATAATTCTGTTTTATATCTTAAATCTTCTATAATTTTGGAATAGAATTTTTACTACTGTCTCTACACTAACAACATGCAGAAATCACCATTAGAGGGGAAAATATTGCTCAAAATTCCTAGCTAGTCAGTCAATTACATCAGTACATATCACCAATTTAAATGCCATGAGCGTGATATGATATTTCATCACACGATATTTGTTTTAACAATGTGAAGAGTCCCGTCTGACCTTACCACTTTGTTTTTATTTATTTATTTTTGTTATTCAAATGCATATCAAGAAAGTACAATAGCAAAATAACATAGTGAGTCTTAAAGTTTGATGCACTCACTTGGACCAACAATTTGCTGGAGACAGGTCAAATGAATGGTTAGTTGCAGATCCACTNCAGCAATCAGTCAGCAGTTATCACATTTAGCTTCTTGCTTAGATATACAAAATCAAATTAGGATAAACTATAAAAACGACAAAAAAAGCATGTCGAAATTTCACACCAAAGTTTCTTTAACATATCTGTTAGAGAGATAACATATTCAAAAATGAAAGAAAAAATCAGAATTACTTCCTGAACAGATACTTCCTTTAAAGACAGGTTAGCGGCAGACATTTTAGTTCTAATCAATACAGCAGATGCTACAGAGACTTGACAATGTCGGCCTAAATATTCAAAGGTCAATCTATCATAACTCAAGTTCTTCATTAAGACAAGACTTAAATTCCTAACTGTTACAATCTATTTTGATCAAACAACTTAGGGTGTTGAGCTATTATTGTTAACAACTGTTTACCCCAATGGATTAAAGTAAATGGATGGTTTAAGATTGGTGACAAATATTTAAGTAAAAATCCCAGTCATCAGACCTAATCCAAAGTTAATACTGCAAATATTACTGGTTCGACACAGGCTCATCATGGCCTTGGGTGGAAAGTGCAGATTTTACAAAATTTTTAATAACACAGTTGTTGTCAGACTCTTCTAGCAAGACAATGACACGTAACTAAAAGACCCTCACTAAATCCCAGAAAGGTCTATGCAATAAATATACGATGGAAAGCTTTATTGAATTTAGTAGCATCCTATAATACCATTTATGCTATCATTAAGGTTTCTTTTTCCATCCAATTAGTTTTTCCATCCAATTAGAATCTGTCCTCTACTTATCAAGACTCATTTATCAGATGTACATATGATGTGATGGTGTACTACAGAATCAAGAGATTCAAGAGCAAAATAAACTTTAACTGAAGATCTTCTAATCATCCATAATAACAAGCAAAAAATAATTCTGTTTTATATCTTAAATCTTCTATAATTTTGGAATAGAATTTTTACTACTGTCTCTACACTAACAACATGCAGAAATCACCATTAGAGGGGAAAATATTGCTCAAAATTCCTAGCTAGTCAGTCAATTACATCAGTACATATCACCAATTTAAATGCCATGAGCGTGATATGATATTTCATCACACGATATTTGTTTTAACAATGTGAAGAGTCCCGTCTGACCTTACCACTTTGTTTTTATTTATTTATTTTTGTTATTCAAATGCATATCAAGAAAGTACAATAGCAAAATAACATAGTGAGTCTTAAAGTTTGATGCACTCACTTGGACCAACAATTTGCTGGAGACAGGTCAAATGAATGGTTAGTTGCAGATCCACTGGGACTCCCATATATCATTTCATTTTGAGTACTATCTTCCTGTGCTCTGAGAGAAAACTGGTCATTGGCCGACAATGGCCGAAAGAAAGTATTCTGTAACCACGGATCATGATCACTTGAACCAGTTACAGGGCTAAATGCCCCACCTTTCTGGCCACTACCAAGAAAAACCTTCTGAGGAGAATGAGTGCCAGAAAGGACTAGGTCCTCTTTTGTGAACAGTGATACCATTGTCTTTTGAGAAGAAGGATGCACAAAGTCTTCCTTGTTTGATCTATTCCGTTCTGGGGGTAAAATCCAGCTTGGGGGGCCACCTACCAGACCTAGACCATCCTGCCCAAGAGGAGAAGTGTTCCACATCTGCCATGTTCCATTCTCAGTTCCATTCGTATCATCCACTGGATATGTGTGCATATCTTGAACCATAGGTGTACTTGGAAACCAATTAGAATTGTTATGCTTTTCATCAGCAACTCGCAATCGTGACAATGGAGACTCAATCGGAGATGGCTTACTGACTTCAGAGGTAAAAGACGCATTCTTCAAAGCATGAGCCCTTTCAGATCCGATGTCTTTTGCAAAACCAGCCCCCAGGTCCAGTTGAAAATTATCAAGCGACTCAGAAACAGGCCCAAGCAAAGATATTGGATCAGGCACATAACATGGATCTTCAAAAAGCTCTGTCTCTTCAGGTATAAATTCATGAGGTCCAACCGGTTCAATTACAGGAGAAAACCCTAAACTACTAGCAGTGGAAACATTCGGATAGGTAGATAGTGTAAATGGTGATGGCAGCCCAAAATTGATTGGATTATCAAATGTTTGCATTGCTGACGATTGAGCAGGTAATGGTGGACTTTGAACTTCGGTGGGCAATTTCGGATTTGGTCTACTAATGACATTAGTATTTGAGGTAGCAGGAACTGATGATGAACGTGTGAATAACTGTTGCCATGATTTTTTTGTTGTAGTCCTTGGTTGTGGTTCGGCAAGCACCTACAGTGAACAGCTCAATATTGTAACACTGATATCCTTCTTCTATATATATATATATTGTTAGAGATCACCAAAAAGATATCTTCATTGAACCATAAAACTTGACCATATATCATAATATGTAGCCTCTTAACGATTCCAAAACCTTAAGTTATAACTAAAAAATGCACAAAAGGGATTTAATTAATAGGTAAAGGATTGTCAATTTTGTGTTGAAGAGAAAGTTAAACATTTTCATTGTCATACTAAAATGATGCAGAAAAATAAAATCTGTAGCAAGACAACTTACAGGGCGGTTGATGCTTTTATCATCTCCATGTATTAACTTCCCAGCACGGTCATATGGATAAAAATCTCTCCTCTGGGCAGAAGGGTGAAAATGATCTACTGAACTAATAGACTTGTTCTCTTTTGCAACGGTAACAGGATTATTAGCACCCTTTCCAAAGAAACTACCTCCACTAAAAGCTTTTGAAGAAGACAAAAATGTACCTTTCATACGATCCAGGTACCTAGTCCCAGCATTTTCCCGAGTATAATTACTTGCAGAAGTTTTTCCACCATGTACTGTTTCCATGCCATGGCTCTTGACAATATCTGTACCAAATTTCTGATGTTCACGCCGATCATTCTCACTCTTCCTATCAAAATCACGCTTCCGCTCATTTTCCTTTCCAGCTTTCTTTTCCAGTTCTTCTGCATCAGAGTTACTCTTACTAGACCCCTTGTCCCTCTCTTTTCTTCTTTCCTGACGCTTTCTTTCCGCTTCTCTCTTACTATCCTTCTCCTTGACAGAAGGTGAAGTTATGCCCCGTTCTTTTTCAGCCTCCATCTTCTCATCCCTGAGTCTCCTACGTTCCTCCACCAACCTGGCAACCTCCTCCCTCTGTTTTCGCTCTTCCTCTTCCAAAAGCTCCTTCTCTAACCTAGCCTGTCTCTTCTCCTCAGCTTTTCTGCGTGCCTTCTCTCCTCTACGTTCATGGTAATTTAACTCATTTTCACCCCTCTTAGCCATCATCCCTCTATGATCTGCATCAGACGAAGAATCTTCATGTGATGAACTAATTCTAAAAATCTTTCTCAAAAGCCACCTAATGCTCAAGAAAAAAGATGTCAACAACTTGCAGGCAAAAATAACAGCTCCAGAGTAAGACTTCTCTGCCAAACAGTTCTCATCTCCTCCAAAAATCCCACTCCCATTCTTCCGCCAATAGTTAGACTTCCCTGCAATTGACCCACTAACCCAATTCCCATTTTCTAACCAATCCTGACCACACATCCATCCATTCTCAGACCATCCCTTCCCATTCAAAATCTTCCCACCTTTTCCAACAAGCTCCTTAATAATCCCTGAATTGGATATCCCCAATCCCCCAGGTGGCACAGGCAAATCCAAGACTGGTCTCTTTGAAATATGGCCACAATATGAACACATAAATCTACCACCACCTGGGTTCTGATCCCTATATGCAGTCAAGCAATTTCTACATCGCCGCGTAGCAGTTTTCCTCAACTTATGCAATTCAATAGCCTCAGACCTCTTCCTTTCCCTCAGACGTGCATTTCTACGCACACGCCAAGCTGATAACTGAGGCATCAAAATCTCATACCAAAATAGAGTAACCAAAAGCACAAAAACACATGCCAGCCTCGGTGACGTGATTTCAAATCGAAAGGCCGGTGGCAAAATCTGTGACAAAGCCCATAGCCCTATAAGTGGAATAACTAACCAAGGTAGCATTGTAGCAACCCGGCGAGACCACTTCTGAATCACACACAATATACACATTATCCTCCTAACCCCACACCTATTATACGATATTCAAATCAAACCCTAGAATCCAACAAATTCTCAATCTTTCAATTTTCCCAATAGAAAACCCTAACCCTAGCTCTTAATCTTATCCAAATCAAATATCAATAAACACCAATCCTTCCAAAGTTTAATAACCCCAAATTGCTTTCATCAAAAACAAAAATCATTCCAAATAAGATAAACGGCGAATGTTTCAACAATCGATGATTTAATCAACGGAAATGGATCGATTATAGGGCTCGAGAAATAAAAGCGTGCCGTTTTGAGCTGAGGATTTCATGTCAGCCGAATGGGTGAGGGATTTCGACACTTACAGATTTGAAGTCCAGGACGAGATAATAATATAGGTAAATAATAATATCGGCAAATGAGAGCTGAAATATCGGTGACGATTCGGTACAGGTGTTTCGGGTCGTGTCGGACGATTCGTGTCGGTGCGTTTGCTCCTTCGTTCGTTGTTTTACCAGCGAAGAAACTGTGAAAGAAGAAAAAGATAAGAGAGATGGAGAAGAAATTGAGGGAATGTAAGGAAAACAAAATTTATAAGCAATTGTTGAACCGGACCGGTTCATCTTGAACCGACCGGGTTTATTACTTACGGGATTTGTTTGACGGAGAGTTGAAGGGTTGTTTATGGTAATTTTGTTGCCAACTTGGAGACGTACTCGTTTTCATCATTGAAACAAAAATGGTCGTATCTACACTGCAGGCACGAGTACGACATGTAGTTTAATTAAATCATTTATTATATTTCGTTTATGGAGTTAATTAATGAGATTTAATAATTAACTGCATTTTATTGCAGGTTTAAGTTTTTAACACAGGGTGTTTTTATCTGACGTACATGGCTGAAATATTCATTTATTAGTTAATCAACTTTTATCGGAGTATAAGGTGACCTTTTTTTTTCTTTTTTTTTTTTTATTTGGGTGTTCAGACCAGTTTACACACATCTAGATTGTTAATGAGATTTAATAATTAATTATATTTTATTATAGGTTTAAGTTTTTAACCATAAGGTGTTTTTATTTGACGTATATGAATGAAATATTCATTTATTAGTTAATCAACTTTTGTCAAAGTATAAAATGACTTTTTTTTTTCTTTTTTTTTTTAATTGGCTGTTCGGACCAGCTTACATACACTTCGATTAATCTTTTAGGGTCCTATAGTTAACGACTAATCTCTCGAGGTCCTGGAGTTAACGATCAGGTAAATCTTCCAATGGCCACCCTTATAAGCATTCAAGAGGAATCAGACTCAAGTTAACAACCAGACAAACTTTTCAATGGTTTGCCACTCTTATTAGCAATCGAGGAGAATCTGACTTAAGTTAACAATCAAGTAAACTCTCTATTGGTCATCCCTATTAGCAATAGAGGGGAATCAGAGAGGAATCGAATTCAATATCTCTTGAATAATATACCCAAGAGTCTCTATCATCACACTCCATTACCCATAAATGATTTATAAGATGACTTTTATGCAATATTATGATCTAAATTATTATTATTATTTTTTTAAATGGATAATTAAAGCACACATAATCAAGTTTGTTTATTATATAAAAAGTATGAGCTTGGCATTTAGTTGGGCTTGGAGGCAGTCAAAATAACTATTTAATTATGTAATATAATTATTATTTAATTAATTAATGGATAAATATTATCTCTCATTAACTACATTGAAGATGGTAGGCAATTGGAGTAAGCAAGGTATAACCATTGATAAATTATTAAACTTATTCAAATACTTCTAGCTCCTTCTTTTCGTTCTCGTTGCAGTGTTTTAGTTTACCTTGACCAAATCGAACAAGCTTTCATCTGGGTAATTATAGGTTTACTTGAGGGCTTCTCAGCCGTTGGATCTGACAATAGTCCAAGACACCAAACAAGGTTACTGGAGTATGGTATAAATTGTCTCTCTTTATGGATAAACTTCAACTATCAAGATCCAGATCAGCAAGAGATCACGTAACTGGCTAGTAAAACATTAATGCCATAAAGGCCCTTTTGCCCAAAGCAAAGCCTGACCGCCACCGGAGCGTAAGCTTTATTTTATTTTTTTATTATTTATTTATTTGAAAGCCAAAAGATTACACCGCCTCATGTCTGTATGGGCTTGGCGCTCTGGTAGTTATCGCAGTCTGAACGTGCTGACGAAAGGACTTGCCTTGTGTGGCCACTGGAAGCTTCGAAAGGCCCAGTCACACGCCCAGTCACAGCCCAGCAATGTGTCCGCTATCCGCATGCTCCAAACAACATTAATGCGCCACAACAAATGCCCACCAATAATGTATAGAAAAAATTATAGGTGAGATTGTTATAATTACATCATCTGAAAAGATCACCGAGTGCGAAGGATTTGGTTATAATATCAGGGGTTCGTACTTCATACCATTACCCCTGATACCGCGATTAAAATTAAACGTTTTAGCTTTATTCCCTATTAGATCACTTTTTTTTTTTTTTTCAGTTTGTGCACACTTCAACTAATTCTCAGAGCTTTAAAGTTAACAATCGGATAAAACCTTCAGTATCCACTCATATTAGCAATTGAAGGGATGCATGCACATCAACTAATCTCTTGGGATCCTAAAGTTAAATTCTATTAGCAACCAAAGGGATACGCACACCTCGACTAATCCTTTGGGGCTTTAAAGTTAACATCTACTAGCAACTAAAGGGATGTGCACACTTCAACTAATCTTTTAAGATCCTGAAGTTATCGCCTATTAGCAACCAAGGGGATGCGTGCACCTCGACTTATCCCCCAAGCCTATGAAGTTCTTTGATTAATCCTTCAGGACCCTAAAGTTAACGTTTATTAGCAACCAAGGGGATGTGCGCACATCGACTAATCTTCTGAGACCCTAAAGTTAATTTCTATTGGTGACCAAGGGGATGCACGCATCTTGACTTATCCCAGTAGCTATGAATTTAACACTTATTAACAATTAAAGGGATGCACGTAGTTCGATTAATCCCCTGAATCTTGAAATTAACGATCAAATAAACCTTCTAGTGATCACCCTTATTAGTAATCGAGAATAATTAAATTTAAAATTTCTTTATTAATATACCTAAAAGTCTCAATTACCCTCTCGACCATCAGCGATGGTTATTAGATCACTTATGCCTTACAAAAAATTGTCATGTATTACTTAGAAACAGCTAATCACAATAATGAATTAATATTTTTTTAATCAAATCGAGGAGGGAAACGTGCAAATAACCCAAGGGAAAAATGACAAAAATTAGAATAATTGAGATCTAAACCAATGTACGGAAGGATAATTGAAAGTTGTAATACCAATTGTAAGTATGTGTCTGTCTCATTTGATTGATAAATCGCTGAAACATCTTTTCTTGAAAAAGCTTTAATTTTTAGGAGACGAGTTGGTAGCAAATAGCATATCAACCAAATTTCAGAACATAAATTTGTGCCATTCCGTCGGAGCTTAGTCAAATTATATACTGTATATATCTAACCTACCACCAATAACTTGGCTACTTTACCAGAGTCAATTAATTTCAACTTTCTGCCAAACTCAATAAAAGTTTTTATTCATTGACTTTATTAACTTTCCCTAATCACATATTCTAATCCTAATCAAAACAAAGAGAGAGGGTAGGGGGGGGGGGAGGGGGGCTCTTTTGTTTTTTGCAGACTTATTTGAAGAAAAAGTAGTGAAGAAGAGAACCTAATGTTGCAAATCTCTGTAATCCATTATTAAAGGGTCCTACTTCTTAAAAGCTATTTTTTTTTATTTTAAGGCACTCGTAATGTCAAATTCCACCATTGATTTGACATTTATCAGAGCTTTGACGCACTGTATGTGCCCATATAGCAAGCTTAACTGGTAGCATATTTCATGAAATGGAATTTTTGCTTCCATGGATGTGTTTTGGGACATTATTATTAATGGTTTTCATAGCTCATTGGTTGAAAGAAACCATTAAAGGGTGGTCCATACTTGCATAATTTCCTCAGACTGAAGTGATGAATGATCTGAAATGTCATGAATGTTGGCATTTAGCAATCAGATCACCTAAAGTTTGACATTTTCATGATGTAGTGATTGTTCCTAGATAAGTAAATGTTCCCAAAAAAGAAAAGCCAAGCGAAGAAATAGAAAGCGAATCATCCCATCTCGGTTAAAGGACGGACTGGTCCACCAGGATTGGGGCGCCTGTTGTGATTGGAAGAAAGCTAGTAAAAGAAAAGGGATGTGAAATGCAATGAAACGAAAACTAATTTTCACTTCATCCACAAGTAATATTCCACTAATTAGAGAAAGCTAAGGGCATCAGTTTGTGTTGAGTTGAGCCCACTACAAGTTCAATGTACACACTGTAAAGCAAAATACCAAACAGAGCTTCAGTCCTTAACCTTTCAAAGGGAAGCATTTTAAAGCAGACATGGACCCCCGATTCCATAAAAATTATGTATCTGTCTCTGTTAACTTTAAGTTTTTGAGTGCATGTTTATTCTTGTCATGCAGCCAACTTGGTCTGCAAAACTTTTATAAGATAAGGAACTGTAATCAGTCCATTATCATGAATTCTAAGTTTATAAAAATCAAATGTTCTCTTAATGAGTAACAAAGACAGTTTTTATCAGCTAACACCTGTTGTGTCTCCGTCCTTGTGTTCTGCTTTAATTCTTGCAAATGGCGATATCAGTTTCTGCTTGAAAACACTTAAAAAACAAGATCCGTGGTGTTTGCAGCTGGGGACATGAATGTGCTGTATCTAAAGTCTCCATTTTAAACCTCAGTCATTTACAAGGAACTCTCAATAGAAAAACTCACCCTTGTCAGCTTATAATCAATAAAGACATTTGATTTGTATTTACTTATAATATTAGATTTTTATTTGAAATTATCAGTATATATTGATAGTATTGTACATGTTAAGTTTGTTTGATGAAGGGTTATTGTTTAACGTAAACTCGCTACCGCTCTCCTAAGTAGAGCCAAAACGCCCACTCAAAAGTGTAAACAGAAAGGCAAAGGAAATATCAAAAGAAGAAGTAATCCACTTTAAACTTGGACCAGGAGTGAGATGGATCCGCCATAAATTACAGATGAAAAAGGAATGTGGTGTTTCAATAGTAAAAAGACAAATTCCATAACTTTGAATCTACTTAACACATTGGTTACTCCAAATTTGCAAAACTAAAATCCCATAATGATGGACAAACTAAATTTAGCCTTTTCCCCGTAACAAACGGCCCCACGAAACCTTCTACTATCCAAGCATGATTCGAATTTTTTTGCTTATATATGATCTCAATCTCATCTCTTCTCTTACTAAGGTATTCTAAAGCTAATCAATTGGTATCTCAACAACTCAATGGTTAAAATCGTCTTTATTCTTTGAGAAGAAGAGCCACTTTCCAACAATTTAATTTACCTCCCTTTGTAAAGCCAACATGTTGCGAATGGCGACTCTACCAGTACCGGAACCTCAGGAGCTCTCTCTTTCAACAGGTTGGAACTCGT